TATGTTCCTCGTTCTTCACAGGCAAGCAGCGTTAACGGAAGCTCTGCACAGATGGAGTTGCTTTGGCTACAACAAGGTTTTGAATCTCTCAGAAGTTCTGGAATTGAAGTATCTACGTTTGTGTCTGACAGACACCAAGACTGTATGCCATTGCACAGAGATACCTATTGAACAAAAACATTGTATGACTTAATATAATGGTTGATTTGAGATTCTCTTACATTCTTTAGAATCGGCAGGATCATAACATTACATATATATATTATATGTATATGGTATACTCATTTCTGCCTAATTTAATGAAAATATAATATCAAATTTACTAATTCTAAGAATTGAAGGTGCCAAACAGAATTGGTATTTCTAGACAGTATAACTTCTACAGTATAACAACTAGACAGTATTTGTATAACTTCTTCTTCATTCGCCCATACAACGCATTTCAATTTGGGGGTGTGGTATTTTGACGCAATTGATTTTGTTTATGAAAGAGTATGTTCTCGTTAGTCAATGATCGCTACAATTTTCGAGTGACTGTGGGTACTTAGTTTGCACGAGTAGATCTTACTAACAGGACCGCCAAGAGGTTTCGAAGGCCTTTAAGGAAACCCAAAAGACGTGGCCCCTGCGAGCGGAGCGAGCAGAAATTTTTTGCGACCACGCCCTTTAGATTGTCTTAAAATGCATTTCAGAATATTTCTTGCACTCCTTACTTGCAATCGTTTAAAACTTTTAACTATTTTTCGGCATACTTCTTCTACGTTTTATTGACTTCATTCTTATAATGGAGTTCGTTACTACTTGAGGCCCCATCAACCTCAAGGCCCTGAAGCACTTTGCCCCCTTGCCCCCTTGCCCCCCTCGGCAGCCCTGCTTACAGTGGCTTCCAGTACCTCCATGATCAGCGTTCAGAGTTTTTCAATAAACTTTGTCCCCAAACTTTAGGTAGAAATTAGGTCGCCCTGGATATTGGACATTAGATTCTAGACTCCGGCTGCCGACAGGGAGTGGTGGACATTTGCCCCTCCGTGACACCCATAGCGCCATCTGTACCTATTTTGAATTGCTGAGGGTTTTTGGATGATACTTTTTCGGTCTAATCTTCATCTTACCCAAACTTTTTGCTAAAGCTATCGCATAGAGAACTTCGAAAGTAAAACCCGACAAAACTTTACTTTTAGAAAATTTGCCGACAAGAATTTCCTAGGGGTGCACCCCCCGCACCCCCCCCCCCCGCTAGCGACGGCCCTGCGTGAGACATGTTCATAAACTCGCAAGTAAAACTCCGCCGTATAATTTCTTGTTAGTTAGCAATCTAAATTTTCACTAACACAACAACTTTACGTCACTTCCTGTTAAACTCGACCCAATCCTTTGTGACAGAAATTGAAGCAAAAATCGACCTCGAAACAGCTGTAATTACGAAAGTGTTTGTTTTTCGAAAATTTTATGGTGATTTTCGTGATCAGCATACTCGATTACGTGTTGGGGCGTTTACACGATCACTTTTTACCATCACTTTTTCCGATATTGGACCAACATGCTGAAAAGTGATCGTGTATCATATTCAGGTCACATTTGCATCACATATTTTATGTGATCACAGAATGTGATCATGTAAACGACCTTGCAAATTGCTTGAAGTTGTACGAAGCAGCAAGAATTAATCATTTTTGATTGCCTGTTAATTCGATGTCACATATTTTTTACTTGACCAGCGATCAAATGGAAATGTCTGTGATGCAATTTTCTCAAAGGCACCGACAAGTCTTTGCTGTCCTGGGTAGATCGGGAACTGTTTGGCGCGCATTTTATCAGTGATCTGACTTCATTCAATTTTTATGTTTCATTTGTTGTCAATGGAAGTCGAAAGCGAGGAAGATAAGAGAGCTATAGCTGCTATTTCATTAGCCTGCGCAGTGATGAAAACAAAATAAAGAAAAAGACGGAAAAGGAGTTGTTGGACAAAGCCCTGGCTACGTAGGCACGACAAAAGGGGCATATATAATGGCCTGCAGGGACGGATTTAGCGGAGGGGGGTTGTAGGGGGTGCGACACCCCCCAATAGTTCTGTGTCCTTCGGTAAATTTTGTTTCATTCGGTAAAAATCATTTGTTAGTAGTCAATAGTAAAAAAATAACGCTAAGATTTTACTTTACACTCTTTTTTATAAGAACAATTTTATAAGAACACGAGCCTCAAAACTGGTCAAACGTTAAGAACAAATTGCACCCACACAAGCACCCACATAAGCTGAGGCTGAGTTTCTGCAAAATGCAATTTGCAGACATTTTTGAACAACGTTTTTTCTCAAAATCAAGGATTGTGTGGGTGCTTTTTCGGTGGATATTCAAATTTGTCAGCAAATTAAGGCTGTCTCACTCACTTTGTTGGCAAATGAGGCCTGAACACCTCCTTAGAGCGACAAAGCTAGCAAAGCAATGCTTACACCCTCTTAATTTAAGAACAAGTTAAGAACAATCCAGCCTCAGATTTTCGAAAAAATTAAGAACAGTCAGCCTGAACTTAAATTTACTGGTTCTTATTAAAAAGAGTGTTTTTATTTTTATCAGTATTTATCTTCTTATCAGTAGCGTAGCGGGGAGGGGGGGGGGGGGGGGATATTCTCAAATGTATTTTAAGCTGATCTCAAGAGCATCGTCGCAAAAATTCACGGGCAGCCTAAAATTCAAATTCAAATAACAATGGCTGATTTTGCCACAGGTCAATAACCAACTCGACGATTTCATCTTTCCATTCGAATTTCTTAACTTTCCTTCTGCTTTGGTACGGTTTGCCTGCAGCTGATTTAATGGCCTGAAATGAGAATGCAGGCTCTTCGTAGTCTTCTGATTGCGTATCAGGAATGAATTCCACGTCAATGTTGCCCATCTTTCTAGAAACGTAGGTCACTTTCCTCAATACGGCCCTATTCGCACTGCAAATATGATAATATTTGTCAAACCCGATATTCTCACGCCAATTAAGAAAACGTTTTCAAGATTGACAAAGACCCTATTCGCACTGCATCTAGAAACCTGATAATGCTAATCCCTTATTGTTCTATCTTCCAAGGCGGCAAGGGTTTGACAGAATTCTGTTCACATTAGGCAGTTTTCTGAGATGTTGTATTGTTATCTAACACGTTATCAGGTTGCCATTAAGAAATTGTACCTGTTTAAATTGTGACATGATTTCAAATAGCACCCTGGGCTTTTTTCTTGGTGTTAACGTAATTCTGGCATGTCTGTCGAGTCACCCGCTGGTTATAATAGATTTTCACGAGATTGTGATGAGGGCCCTATTCGCACTGCATCTAGAAACCTGACAACGCTAATCTCTTATTGTTCTATCTTCAAAGGCGGCAAGGGTTTGTCAGGAAGTAGTTTAATTAGTAGAGTGCGAACAGCAAAATCTGAAATCTGACAAATTGTAACGTTTCGACTAATTGGTCAAAGGTTCCGTCTTAGAGCTCTGGAGCATCACAATCTAGTGAAAATCTATGATAACCAGCGGGTGACTCGACGGACATGTCAGAATTATGTTAACACCAATAAAAAAGCCAAGGGTGCTATTTGGAATCATGTCACAATTTAAAAAGGTACAATCATGTAGTAGTTAAAGGCATTGAGTCATGATAAATAGACTGGGTATACCCTAAGTGCCAAAATCCGCTGAGTCATTATTTCCATGACTGCGATGCTATTGGTTGACCTTGAACTGGTCACATGAACTCACCTCGTACTGATTAACATAACAGTTTCCATCAATAGCAAGTTGTCAACAACGGATGCCAATATCACATGAAACAGCAGCGATCACGCCGAAATCAAATGACCCCCTATAGAGAAAGCCTATTTACCATGACTCAATGCCTTTAAGGGTCCTTTTTTGTTCTTCGTAGTTAACGGTCCTAGGGGTCATAGGGGTCATAGGGTCTGGTTTTTCCAGTATGTCGCCTTAACATACTAAAATTTTCCATTTTCGCAGCGGAATTTAATGCGCTTATCAGGTGTTAATCCTCTATCATTGTAAATTTTCATCTGAACGAAAGCAGAGTAAAATCGAGTTCATCACTTTTTTCAAAGGCGCCGACAAATTCTTACGTCATATAATGTTTTGATGAGAAGGGAACGGCCTAGAGTTTCGAGAAGAGAAGAGAAAGACGTGATTTGTGATCAGAAACATAATTATTAGCAGAAAACGAGTATGAATAATGATTTGGAGTAAGTCGAAGAGCAGCACATTACAGAAAAAAAATGCAGTTTTCCAGACATTAAATTTAAGGCGGGAAGGAGGTGCCATGATCAAGCGTTTGTTTGTAAATTTTTTAGAAAAGGAGACAAAAGTCTGTTTTAAAGTAAATGTGTCGTGAACCTGATTGGCTAATGCAATACAATCATTTTGTTGTTTAGTACAAATACGGGATCAAGGTTGAATTTTCTCGGCAGTAAAAATTCATGAATCAGAAATGAAAAGTCACGAAACAATCCAAATGTTTTTGTTGTAATAGGCAACTGCTAAAGCGACATACGCCCTTCATAAAAAAAACCCCTCAAAAGAGCGGCAGTCAGTAGACTTACTCCATGAGCCTCTGTTTCGCTACTGCCTCACTTGACAGACGCTATTAGCCCTTCAACAGGCAAACGCCCAGCAGCCAAAACAAGGTACTTGCAGGACCGTTACTAGCTCTATTGAACAAGAGGGTGAGCCATCCTTTTTGTCGACAAGTTTGAAAATTCACCAAGTCTAGTGAAGGCCCTGTGTATGGGTGTAAAACGTGCCAAGAAGAATCGTGCGTTTTACTTGGTTTCTTGTTTTCGACAATCAACAGCCGCAAACCCTTCAGGCTCTTCCAGGTTCCTGGAGGTTATATTTAATAGAATATCTAAATATATAGTTGTGACTAGCATAACCGTGAGAATTTCTAATCTTAATTTTAGTTCAAACTTTTCTTAGAAGCTTCAAAACGTATTCTTTAAACCTCTTTATTTTAACAGGGATTTAAAAGGCAACATTGTTCCTGGAGCTATGGCTTTATACAAGAAATTGAGAACAAAAACTGAGGAAGTACGTTATATGTACATTTGATGCTCTTAGCATTGCTTGAGTGGACTCTCCGAAAAAACTGTAAATTCACAGAAAACGCTTTTTAAAAAGCGCACTTAATGGACGTTATCAAAAAATTTCTATTTTAAAACTGAGAACTAAAAGGCGACAGAATTGAAAAGTAAAATAAAATTGTCAAGTCTTTTTATAAGCTGCCCGCAAAACAGGCCCATCTCGAGGATGACCCCATTCTTAGAGAGTGCACCTTTTTGGAATACTTACTAACGGTCCCGCACCTTGCGGTCTATCTTATTCCACGCAGAATACATTAACATGGAAACATTATTTTACACCCCCTTTTTCTTACGCCCTCTTTATTATAAACCCCCTTTATTGTACACGATTTTTTCTTTTCATCAAAGTAATTCATTTTGGTCTAGGTTCCGATTTGACCCAATTCGCGCAAGTTCTATGAGCATTGAAAATTTCCTTGGCGAGAGATGTTGTTTTCTATTGCATAAAGCTTTTTATTCATGTGATGCACATAGTCCTTACAAATATCATTTTCAGATGTACACAGTGATCGAAAAGATGTCAGCTGCAGGAGAATTTGACATACCTTTGAAGACAGCATTAGAGCTTGTAGGTTGGCGACCAGAAACCCCAGCAGAGAAGACGATCGACTACTACTTTAGTGATTTTGAAAATGAATCACCTCCCTGGATACTTAGTGCCCAATCCGTCGGTTTTACTGGAGAAGGGAGTGATGAAATCGTCGTTGACACGCGTGGGCTCGCTTACTTACTGCGGGAAACTGCGAAGAATTTTACAAGCAAAGTTAAACTGAATACCCGGGTTAAAAAGATAACTTATGATGCAAATAAAGTCACTGTCCTTGCAAAAAACGGAGATACGTACGAAGCAGACTATGCGTACGTCACGTTTAGCACTGGGGTTCTCGTGAGCTCTATGGTAGAGTTCAGCCCTCCTTTGCCGCATTGGAAAACAAAGGCTGCATATATGTTACCGATGGGTTACTACACGAAAATTTTTTTGAAGTTCCCAACCAAGTTCTGGGATGATAACAGGTAGGTCTTATGATTTTCCTGAATGAAAGTAAGTAAAAATTTAGGATAATTTTATATGTTCAATTCTTGTTCATTGGTTCCGCAAACAAACATGTATTTTGCTTGTCGTTTTAATTTAAGAATTTTCAAGATTGCCCATCAAATACATAGTAATGTTCTTTGGCCAAAGTTACTGTATTTTTATTTTGCAAACAATCGCATGTAGCTTCCAATGCATAATCATGGTTTATTTCAATGTTATTTCACTAAAAAAATTCAAAAATGCCTCCTTACATCCTTTTAATGTCACAAACGTTGAAGGAATCTAAGATCTTGAGAAAAGCAAACATTTAGTAAACTAAAGCTTTTAGTCTCAATAGGCAAGCGGCACTGATTGGTCAACCTATACAGTCATGTGCTCGTGTTTTCTGATTGGCCTATTTCGATCCACAACTGGGTATATATATTTCCTAGCGTAGAGTTTTCGATCTATGTTCTGACGTTTTAAACTCTGAAGAGTGTCAGACGAAAAGCTTTAGTTTACTAAATGTTTGCTTTTTTCAAAGCCATTTACAAGTTTTGTACCACCAAAAGATTGTTTGTATCTAAGATTCCTTTATTTTAGAAAGTCAATCTTTGACGGCCAAGCAAATTTCCAGGGTAAAACTAAATATTGTCTTTAAAGGTACATTTTGGTTGCAAGTGAGAAAAGAGGCCACTACGTCCATTTTCATAACTTGGACAGGTCTGGACTTTTTCCTGGTGAGAAAATGTTGATTGCCACAGTAACCGACAGAGAAAGTGTCCGGGTTGAGAAGTTGACAGATGCCCAAGTGAAAGACGAAGTTATGGCCGTACTGAGACAAGTCTACCCCAGTGCAACTACAGCAACAGGTTTGATGGCCTACACTTTTTTTGATGGCAGGAATAACGTCATTTTTCGTTGATTAATTCAGCTCGGGATCATAAACAGTTTGTATACTTAGGCTATGCACTAATTTAACTACACTTATTATGTAAAAACCAAGAAATTTTGCTGGGAATTACGATGTTCTTAATTTTTGAATATTTTGTGGCTCGGGTTTCCTTAATGTTGTTTTTATTTCAACAAACACTTTCTACATTTACATTCTATAAATTATTCTAAGATCACTTGGCTTTTTTATAATAGCACAAGTGAACAACTCTTGTTTTCAAACAGAAAATGTTAGAAAGCATACTGTTGTTCTCTGGAGTTTTTCGACACTGGCTGTGCTTTTTTTAGGCTGTTCCTTTTTTGGCAAATCAAGCCTTGATGTTCTTATGAACTGTTTTTTCTTGAAAAAAGTGTGCACCAGAGAATCAAGCAATGAACCATTTTGCTAGCACAGTCGTAGCCTGCGCGCAGACTCGAATGGTTTTTCCAGAGATGAATCTGGTTGATTGGAAATTTAGTTGATTGGAAAATTCAATGTTTCTCTCCCAGTAGAGTCTGCAAATCAGCGACAAAAACCGTGTCCGAGGTCACGTGCGGTTCCCAGTTTCTTGGAACCATTCCTGATTGGTAGAAACTTTTCCCATTGTTATTGTGAAATAAAAATGGCAAAAGAAAAGCCTGCAGGAGGAAGATTAGTCGCAGTTGGAGCCTGGAGCGAGAAAAGTGTCCAAAGATGCTTTAGTCAAGCTTCCTGCCGCCTTGGAATTGCTTCATTCTATTATGATCAAAGAAGTCTCTTTCAAGTTTTTTCTAAGGATTGCCAAGACATTGCCCCAACAGCTCACAGCCATATCATTCTCCTCTCGATTTCCAGCCAAGTTTAGAAAATTTAGATCAATATTCGTTACCCTCTTGTTTATCATAAGCCCCTTGAAAGATTGTCTTTTTTAATTTACATTTCGATCAATTTTTCGAAAGGCAAAAATACAAACAACTTGCCAAAATCAAGCCACTATGATTCAGCAAGAAATTAAATGAATACAATTTAAAGATGTATTGTTTAAAATTGAATAGATATAAACAATTAAATGAATAGCAACAACTTTAAGGGAACGTTAGAGTCTCTTTAAACAACTTCAATATTCAGTTGATTTCTGTTCACAGTATCATTTACGAGATTTTTCAAACCTGTAGTGCAGGGAGCTGCATGCAAAGTCTCGGAGGAAGTCCTTCAAATTTGAGATTCACGTCAACCTACAACAAAGGTTGAAGGAAATTTATTGTCATGAAATTTCTAATGAATCAATGCATATCTAAATGATACATCTTGCATTTGCAAGCCAAGGGAAACTCACGATGCGACTTCACCCTCGCCAAGGGTAGACACTTCATAATTTGTAGCATTCAGTTCATAAAGCAAAGACAAATGAAGTTAAAATTGCCATCTTAGATTTAAAACTTACATTCATTACATTAAGTATTTACAATCAAGTACACTTACTTTTGAGAGCTAAACATTTGACGGAATTTTCGATAACGATCAGTAGGCCTTCTTTTATGCCGCCATGCATGGCAGTTCACCAAGGAAATAATTTTCCATATAGATTTGTCTTGACAAAAAATACATCTTTCTTTCAACTGCTAACATTAAAAAACCCATTGAAAACCACTGTCAATACAAATAACGGCGATGAAAACAATAACTGCACGTCCAAACTTTTCCTTACCAAAACTTGCTTGCGTCTGTCGCAATGCGTCACGCATGGACGATCGTTTCAAAATGCTGACATCAGCGGACACAGTTGCTGTCGCTGATTCACAGACTCTACTGGGAGACAAACTCTAAATTTATCATTCAATTAAATTCATCTCTGGGAAAACCAATCGAGTCTGCGCGCAGGCTAGCACAGTCGCCCTTGTAGGCCCCAGTGGTAGGCCCATGTACGCTGGGTTTTCTGGACATGGAACAAAGTCACTCGCAATTTTCTTTTCTTCAAAGCCGACATTAAAATGTCACTATTTTATCTTGAACTGTTTCAGGCATATTTGTCAGCCGCTGGTCATTAGACAACACAACCTTCGGTTCATATTCCTCTCCAGTGATTGGCTCTGACAAATACACTTACGAGGATCTGAAAGCTCCAGTGAACAAAAGGTTATGGTTCGGCGGCGAAGCTGCAACAGATTCTGATAACTTTGGTTACGCACACGGAGCGTACACATTTGGCAGGAAGCAAGCAGATGAGTTGTTAAGCTGCATGTCAGACAATGCAAAATGCCCGGAGTACAAGCCTCGTAAAAAGGCGACATGTAGCGATGCTTCTGACAAACTATTATCTGTGATTCTCGCGTTACTTTCTATGTTATGTTCTGTAATCTTTATCTTTACATTGTAATGTTTTTGTCACCACATGCTACACAACTCTTTTTATAATAGTATCAACACCTTTTCTTGTTTTGTTTTTGCCTTCACAATATTTAACCTTTTGTTTTAGATGATGTAGGCAAAGCCTATTTCGTGAGTAAAATTTTTCTTTTTGACTGATTTCGCAATCTCTCAAAATTTCCCAGGGATTACACTCAGCCTTAATTATGACGTCACACATATTTTCATGACGTCATTTCTTTGTCACTCGATTGGCGCTTAGAGCAAGATAATATCACCCCTTTACTATTTTCCTCAGTTCTGCATAAGTGACCGCCTTTTTCACGATGTAAGTTATAAATCTAAGAAACATCTTAGCGGCCAGATTTGAAATCGGAACTAATCTATCCAGCATCCTGCCATCAGGTCCCACTGGTCCGCTTTCAATGGCATGATTTCCAGAGTATTAATCCTTTGATCATTCTAAAATTTTCTTCGAGTCTTGGGTTAGATTAGTTGTTCCAGTAATCCAAGTCGTAAATGGAAGCTAGGTTGTTGCATAAACGGCCCTCCATTGAATTGGGTCACTTTCCCTAAAAGAATTTTTGCAAAGGCTATACGAATCAGGACAAAAGTTTACATATGTCGATTTTTGTTTAACCAACATATAAAAAACTAAAAAATTAGATAGGACATTTTACAATATAACTGACATGAAGAATTACTTATGTAGCCAGAGGAATAATTTACAACGGGAAGCCTTCGTTTTCTTATTGAATCAAAAAACTGAGCGAATTGTAAATTAAATAAGTTTTCTACAGCTATCTGATGCGCTTTAAAGACATAGGATCTTCAAATTTCTCCCATCGCTTTTGAATTCGAAATTATGAATCTTAGGATTATTGAATTTTGATATATGGGCTTGGTGCATCATTCCTCGCTGAATATTGACTGGTGTCGTATAATGTCTGCAGTTCGACTTTGTAGAGAAAAAGTAGATGCTCACCAGTATCGAGTAAAAATGCTGTTTGGTATGCAGGTTTATCGTTGCTAATCAAAAGAGAGAAGAATCTGTTGGTTAAGAACCTGGGGCTGCCAAGCATATCGCCCATGAATAATTAATGTAACTCTGCTTATGAGCATGACATAACCAGGATCGTATTGTGTTTCACACTGCACTTAGCACTGTAAGCATTTTATATGGCCTACAATGTTTAGCAAAGCCTCTTTACTTCCTATAAGCACTGTTGCACTTTCTATGTAGCAGTCATGGAGTCTGAGTTAGAACGATTCACCAAATCTTCATCATGTGCACTTAATGATGAGAAGCAGCCATCTCGGCGACGATGCGTCGGTGCCTTGTCATTCGTCGTAACTGGGGTCCTTGCTTTAATGCTCGTAGCTGGAATATTTTACGTGTTCCATTCGGACTCTAGAGAAAGCAGTTTTGACGATCTGATTACCACTGGCGGAGCCGTTCGATCCCTCGAAACCAGACGATCATTATCCAGTGGTGAGAGCTATAAACAGGTTGTCTGCAAAACGGAAAGCTGCAAAAATGTTTCTAGCTATGTAAAAAGTTGCATGGATGAGACGGTCGATCCCTGCGTGAACTTTTTTAGTTACGCATGCGGTGGCTGGATTAAGAAGAATCCGATTCCCAAAACAAGCTCTACATTTTCCACCTTTTCCAAACTTAACCAACAAATCGAGAAGATCTTGCGCAAGATTTTGGAAACAGATAGCACCGATGATGCAAAAGTGCTGAAAAAGGTCAAAAAATTTTATCAATCATGCACGAATATGAAAGGGATAAACAAAAAAGGAGACAAGCCAATGAAAAAGTTAATCGAATATCTAGGATCTTGGCCTATGACAAAAAACAATGACTGGAATGAAAACGAATGGGAACTGCTGGATATCCTGTTAAAAGTTCATCAAGAATTTACTTCATCTGGCGGACCCCTTTTCTCCATCCATGTTAGTGATGATCCTGTTCACAATGAAAAACATATAATCGAGGTAAGGATAAAGACATTATACCCTCAATTCTAATTACTAAAACCATCGATGTTGATGCTATTTTACAGCCTTGAGTAATTTGGTTCTATGGATACCCTTCAAGTACATCGAGCAAAATCAGCAGTGCGATTTTCTAGAAACTGAAGTAAGAATTGACAGAAATACTGTACTGTGGATACTCCTATCAAATATTTTCCACACAACTTTTCCAATATACGTTGATAATCAATATTTTATATCTATGTCTTGATAGTGTCTTGACTGGGCTTAAGTTTTCTGAAATCGCCACTTTTCTAGCACTCAAACTAAGTGCTTTTGGAGCTATTCTTTTAACTTAGTTGTCTTTATTTTCCACATGATGATTGATATGTTCAATCTGGAGAGTCGCCAAATTACGATAATGCCAATGTGTTGTTATTCTCGTGCGACAATCAGAAACAATCAAATCAGTTTAAACATTGATCGATTGAGCGTACACAACATTTTTTTATCATGAACAAAGTATCAAAGATAACTGAAGTTTAACATCAAATGAAGAAGTTGTTTTCTTCCTAAGCCATAGAACAATTTTTGCTCTCGTTTTGTTTCGTTTCTCTCTTCATTGCTGAAAGGAACATCGTTTACAAGAGCAACTCAAATCGCTGAATAACGAAATTTTTTATGCTCTTAAAGGGAGGACTTTTGCAGGTATCTTTGTAATCTAAACTCGCCCGGTTTTCTGCAATATCTTTTGAAGCGAATAGGACAAGAATAAACTACATTTTTTAACCGAACTTACCCGTTTCCGTTAGATACCGTTTTGATTTAAAGAATGAATTGATTTAGAATGAATGATCGCTGGATTTAGCAAATCGTGGCTAAAATGCTGGAATGAAGTATACTGCAGTAAGAAAATTCATAATTGCATCTTGGGTAACTCATCTTTTGGCAGCAAAGGCACGAGAGCGTCTAGCATAATAAGATGTGTTAACATTATCAATGACGACTCCATTTTTGGTTTGCAAACGAAGTGTCAATGTCAATCTCAATTCAAACCAACGTCAATTCAAACCTAAACAAATTTCCATCTTACCCCCCTCTCTGAATAAGTTTGGCAACAACGATTTCATGTTTATTGCGTGACAAAATTCTTCGATATTTTCGGTTTATGATACGGCTTTTTATGGTTTTGGCTTTCAAAGGAATAGTCGATCAGGCATCAAATAAATTTACCATTGACATGGTACTTAGCTGAATGTAGATAAAATGATTATGATAAAAGTCGATACAATATGAGAAGGACTAAATCGAAAATATTTAAGGTTTACTTGATATCCAATGTTTTGAATATAAGTGTTGAGTTTATGATTTTTCTTGATTTTTGGATCTCAAGAGAATATCTCAAGAGCCATCAGCTCATTGGAAACGAACCGCATTACAATGCGCATGAATGGACACGGGTCAGTGATTGCTCATGAAAAACGAAAAACCTGCAATGTTTTCGCTGGCTTTCATTGGTCTCGATTTCTGTACAGCATAGCTAGGATTCAGATATCAAGAAGATTGTAGACATCTTAAGCCATGCAGCATGTATATAAAAATTCATGAAAGTGATATATTTTGGTCCGTTTCAGGGTAACTATAAGGCATAAAAACGACATGATTTAGAAAAAGAGGTTACTAAAAGGAAAAACTGTCCAATATTGACTCAAATGGCGTTTATCTCGATCTATATAATATTCATCTAGTCAACGCTAATGAAGAAGGCAATAGCCAATGAAAAAGGCAATAGCTTTGTGTTACAGTTTCTATACTATAAAATGATATTTTTGAAATCCTATCCGCTCAAAGGCCAACCTGTCAGCATTTTGGAAATGTCCTTAACATTATTGAGACATCTCTTTCAACATTACTGAAACAACTATAAATTTAACTTCCTTTGGGCTGGAGCTCAAGCCGAGAGCCTATCGAAAATTTTGTTTCTATAATACTCTCAAACTTGGCCTGCTTTATTAATACAATCTTGTTTCATTGCTTTTTCTCTTAATAAAATCAATCTGGTTACATTTACTGTTTGGCAACTTTTCTTTGCCAAATCTGTAAGAAAAGTTATGTAAGATAACTTTTTTAATTCACATATTTAATGTTGGTTTACAAAATAATAGCTAATAAACAGCTAATCAACATCAACTTGTAACAATAACAAATATAAGAAAAATCGTGATCTACAAGTATCCAATATTAGAAAGTAAAAGCAAGTAAAATCCGTTTATTTAATTTTAGTTTTGATTACTTTACAATTTTCTGTCGATCGAATATCTAATAGAACATACTGCCTCCCTGTATGTAAAAAAAGTTTAACATATTGCTGTTTGATAGACCAAATGTTGTTACCATTCATATTCTATAAACTGCTATGTCCCAAAGTGTTTCTGTTTCTTAATAGAGAATTTCAATTCGAACTCGTAACTTTAAACTCTGTTTTTTCTTAGGTTGACCAGGCAGGTCCAAGTCTTCCAAGAGAAATTTACTTTGATAAGCCAAAGGTAATGCATTGCCATTAATGCCTTTTGTATTTACAAAACCTTTTTTTGATGATTGAAACCAGACCTTTTCTACCACTCACAATTATAATTTTCTCAGCAAAGTTAAGTCAGCGGGTTGATTCTTTGTGGATCTTTGCATTTTTTTCAAAGAATATTCTTTCGAAGAAGCTCCTGAAAGCCAGATGTTATGTAGTGTTCAAGTGCTTAAATGGCGATTTTTATGATTTCATCCCATGCTTTAATAAGGTCCATTTGATTTCTTTTTAAATATTAGAGAAATTATAAGGAATCCAGCCAAAACGTTGCCCTGCACATATGCACAACAAAATTGAGTAGTTCTTGAAGTTTTAAGTGGATTGATCCAAACAGTAATTCAAATACTTTCCCTTTTTATTGAACTAGACTATACGAGCTTACGAAGAGTACCTCATTGATGTTGCCAAGCTTCTTGGTGCCAGTGATGACGTCAAGCAACAAGCCAATGAAACTGTTCTTTTTGAAAAGGAACTTGCTAAGGTAAGTCTTATCCATTAAGGTAAAACTGATTATCAGTTAAAGGCTCACGTGCAACCAGCATGCTTTGCTGCCGCTGTTTATTACGCGATGAGAAATGGACTGTATTTGGCATTTTCATGTAGTGAAATATCAGGCCAGTTTTAAAAATATAATCGTGAAGCATGCCGGTTGCGCGAGAATCTTTAATGGTAAAGTATATGCACACCTCTGTACAGCTTGAGATTAAAAGCCCATAGCTAAAGTTGAGTGAGGTTATACGTTATATCACACTCTATGCAATGTCGTGAAATATCCTTTTCAATATTTTGATTGCAAGTGAAAATGCATGACTTTATAGATGCATTTTAAATGCGCTCTTCCAACAAATTCAATTATAAAGTCTGCTTAGGATGATTTTAAAGTTTTCTCAGTAGTTTTTCTCGCCTTTTACCCGACTGAGGGTTTATTTGTTTATCAATCAAAATTTTTTGACTTAACGAGTACGTTTGTTTTTCCCAATTGAGTTATCAACGAGGCATCTCCTTTTTCACACTTAAAGACAATATGTTGATCATAGGAACTATTTTCAGAATTTACATGTAGTTATAAGTCTTTTTGTTCTTTTTTCATAGATAAGCGTCCGGGATGACGATAAAACCGACACTTGGTTTCATAGCATGACAGTTGCACAACTTGCCAAAGAGGTCCCCGATGTAAGTAAGATGAACCACTTGTAACAAGGGAAAAAAAGAATTTTCCCAAAAGAATTGGTCGAAACAATAACAAACAAACTAACATCCAAATGTGTCAATATTTTGTGATATATATTTGGCACAAATATATTACTTACAATTTCAGATTAAAAGGATTGGCCATGGACAGTTGTGGCTTTGATGTGTTAGCAAAAATATAAATAAAAAGGAATGCATATCTATCGCTGTCCCAACCAAATACAGTCGTTTGGCCTTGATTTTCAGTTCATAATCAGTTCCTTTTACTATTACAATTTTTAACCTTTTAATTATTTACTTGATTTTTCCTTAGTTTCCATGGGTCGCATATATCAATCAAATCTTTGAAAATCGAACAAAGATTCAACCGGACGAGAAAATTATAGTCCCAACGCTAAAATATTTAAAAGCAATGATGGGTATTGTGAGAAAGACACCTAAAAGGTAAGCTAAATATTCTCCTCCGTTGCACCGTGCAAAAGTGTAATTAACCCACTGGTTACAGTTTATCAATATAATTTTGGCTTTTTCAGGAAGAATGCAAAATACATTTTGCTTGCATAGCTGGTACCGTGTAGCTACGCACGATCACTGAACAGTAGCTAATCTGGGTTGCCTGTCACTATGACAACTCTGCTAACATTAAAATTCTTGTTTGGTTCCTGCCCACCAAATATGCTGATTCCCCTTGGATTTGATCTAAGCAATTTGTTTGCATATGCAGCAATTTGAAAAGTCAATTTTAACAAAGGCCACAAGATTTATGTTTATTTTGTACCCCTGGACAATGGACAACGAAAATAATGGGAATTAAAATATACCGGGGGTCATAGCTAAAGCAGAAATTCAATAAACGGTGGCAGTTAAAGGCATTGAGTCATGGTAAATAGGCTTTCTCTATAGGGGGTCATTTGGTTTCGGCGTGAACGCTGCTGTTTCATGTGATATTGGAATCCGTTGTTGACAACTTGCTATTGATGGAAACTGTTATGTTAATCAGTACGAGGTGAGTTCATGTGACCAGTTCAAGGTCAACCAATAGCATCGCAGTCATGGAAATCACGACTCAGCGGATTTTGGCACTTAGGGTATATCCAGTCTATTTATCATGACTCAATGACTTTAATAAAGGGGGTTGATGGCAAGTGAAGTTAGAATAGTGTCAAAAGTTATCGCAGGAAAACTTCTGACTAAAACAAGAGGGATTGAAAAATGGAGCAATAGATCTCCAGAAGTCCCTAAACCCGCTCATTTTATCCTGATTACTTGATAATTATACGTGGATTAAGTAGGATGAACTTTTTTTAAGAACCAGATAATTTTTGCCAAGGCTTGATGTTCGTATGTTTTGAAAAATTGAGGCTCTGGTGTTCTTATTAATGTTCTTACTTAAACGTTGGTTTTCTTTATATAAAAGCCTTCAATTGATCCTCAGTCCACAATATAATAGTTTTAGAAGATGCATTTAAGAGTGCAGTTCATTTGCTGATAAAATATGCTCTGTTTTGTTAAAAATTGAGAAAAGAACATTGTTTTCTCCTCTAACTTTTCATGTGAGGTTGGGCATGTTATTTCGTTTTTCTTTTCTTTGGCAAATCGAGTCTCGCTATCCTTATAAAGAGTGTTCTTATAAAAACAGTGTAATCACGATCTATGTGTTCTTTTCATTTTGCAGAGTACTTGCTAACTATATTGTCTGGAGTATTATACAAGACGAAGTCCCTTATTTGTCGAAGAAATTTTTGAAGGCTAGGATGCATTATAAAGAGAAGATACTGGGTTCGAAAGGTCTACGTAAACGATGGAAGACTTGTGTCTCATACACAAACGAGTACTTAGGAGAAATACTTGGTGCACTTTATATCAAACAGCGCCCCAACAAGAAGTATAAATACGTGGTATGTGCTCATTAGGTTATAGAAACTTCTAGGATCGGCAGCTAAGAAGAAGCTATAGTCTATACTTTTTAGTTCTAGAAGACGAGTAGAAGCCATGGTTGATTGGATATCAAAGAAGAAAAAAGCATTTATTGATTGCTAAAAATGTTTCTTGCTAAAAATGTGTTTCATGAGGATAAAAAAGGCATATACGTATCTAAAAAGTGGCTGGAAGTATTTCTTTATTTGTTAAACATATCAAAGCTAGCTGTAACATCAGGGATACTGGAGGTTTTCTTGTACGATCTACTGTGGAAAGGTCGAAATCTTAAAATTTCACATTGATCTTTGCTTGCATTCAATCTTGAATAAATTGCGACAGTTATAGACAAAGATTGGTACTCCTGAATAAATATTGGGTGTGTTTTCATTTCAGGGATTTGCGACTTTTTTGCATATTGATTTTTTTACATAAAATGGCTGAAAAAGTACCTGAATTGCTTATGATATTGTACAGCTAAGAATTAACATAAATAAGTGAAATAACATTGATTTCGAAAACTCGTTGCTAAACGTGAAATGTTTAAGGTTCTTTTATGGCAACATTATACCGACATAGGCCGAAGATATGATCAAGAAGATACGATCTGCTTTCAAAGATAACGTGAAAACCTTGGATTGGATGGATGATAAGACAAAACAGGCTGTTGAAGAAAAGGTATTTTGATGTTTAGTTTTAAGTATTTTTACGAACCACTGCTGTTTAGTTTGACACTTCTATAAAAAATTTGTAGCAGCCCTCCTTCATCAAAATTTCATTTTGACCAATTTACTTGTATCATAAAAATTTGTGTGAAGAACACCCTTTTGTTTTACAAAAAAATCGCGTCCCTGGTAATGATAAGACATCCATGGCGATCGAGCTGGCTGCTGTCAAAACTAGGCCACCCATCGATCCGACCTCGTTTTTGTCTAATGATTTTGTTTGGTTTGATTTTGGTCTATTGAACCTTTCTACTTTTTGCTAGCAATTAAGGCTGTGTGTAATGTAAAAGAGCTAACTGAACACGTACCCCAATGCTTCAAAAAGACTCACCACTAGTAATACATTGTGTCTGACAACTAATTTAACTTGTTTAGTGACGAAAGGTGTTTTTGTACATTTCAGGCTGATGCTATGAGAGATCAAGTTGGCTACCCAAAATACATCAACAACCAAACCAGATTTGAGAAGAAGTATCACAAGGTAAAGTTTACCACTTTTTCTCTTGTTAACTGGTGCTTCAATTATTTTATCATTAACACGAACATGGAGACGTTTTAGTAAAGAATCCATTGATCAAACCAAAATCTACTTTCAGGAAGAATTTGGGATTCATTCGCGCATTTCCTGAAATAAATGTTTGTTAACACTTTGGGTCGTTATGATTGGTTAGGGTTAGAACATGATAAATTTATGCCATTATCTACAACGTAGCCATGCTTCGTCGTGATCTTGCTTGAATCGAAACTAGTTATCTAGAACCCGTCTTATAAGACATTATTATCATCAAAACTAGCAAAATGTATGGGCTAATTTAGGAACGCTTAGGCGAGGCTGTATTTCAAAACCTTTTCTGGATAGGCAGGAACTAACATCATAATGTAAAATCTAAATTTTTAAACAAACAGACTCTAATCTATAAACTAATTGAATTCCTTTTCTCTTGGTAGCTAAAAATTGTGTCAGACGATCTTTTTGAGAATAGGATGCAAATGATAAAATTTGCACACAACAGGATGTTGAATAAATTGCGGAAGAAAGTTGACAAGGATGAGTGAGTTTACTTTTTAGCTCGATTTGCATTAACTACCTTTACTGATCTTTCGTGTATATAATGCATTTTTATTTTAGTTTGAGCAAATACATTTAGTATTCCTGATTTATGTTCTCATTAAAGATAATTTCACAAACATTCATTGAATCAGTAGATGAGAAAGACATCAAAGCTTGTTTGTCAAAACATGTCGTCCATTTAGATCTTATCTGTGTTTCTTATAAGATAGTTAAATATTGTTTCATTTTTAGAGTTTATTTGAACTGGTAAATGGAACAAACAGTCAATATAGGTCTTCCTATCCCTTAACAGATATAAATCTATACTATTTTTCAGGTTGTGTATGCTAATCTAATTTTATTCATATGTAGATGGCCCATGGATCCTCAAACTGTCAATGCAATGTACAGCTTTAATGAGAATGGAATGAGTAAGTTAGCTTTTCGGTAATCTATAAGCTAGTATAATATGTAAGCTGGCTTTGAATGTTTCCATGAAAAGGATCAAGTGGCCTTCATGATTAGGAACAATTGATGATGAATTAGTCGTGTTAAGTTTTTGATTCAAGGTTTTTTCAGCATCTCGGGACTATTCACTACTCGAGATTATGATAGGTTAAGATGAAAGTATCTTTTACGATTGCTGAGCAGTCATCGTTTATTTTCTCCCTGAAAAAGATAGAGTTGGCAACAAAACAGTAATACAGATTTTCTTTGTTTGGTAAGTCGTATCTAAACTTCTGAAGAAGTTTCTAAGCTTAAATACAATCCAGCCAAGGCTGTTATGAGAAGAGTGAAGTCTGATGTCACAATTTCTTCCGAATGCTACTGTATTGCTCCTAAACGCCAAGTGTGCTTTAAAACCTTTATACTTGTAGGGGCGTTTAATAGAGAAGGATTATTTCATAAAAAACGAGATTTATTTTCGTTAAAGCTTTCTTAATGAATTAGACAATTAATGCAAATAACAAAAATTGAAAGTAAGTAAATTGAAAGTGTGTCCTAATTTACTCTCAATTTTCCAATACATACCCCTTTCTAGTAAGAAGTGTGTTATCAAGAGGGCTTTTAAAAATGGACAATTTTTTATTTAAGTTACATCAAGAAAGCGTTTTCTTTAGGGCACGTACAAAATATAGGGACGGTTTCTTCTAAGATCTAGGATCCCTATAGCATAAAACAGCCAAGTTATATATAAATTTGTGTTGTCTTTAAAACGTTTTTGAAAGCATATCTGATGTGAAGATATATTTAACTTGATATTTGAATGGAATTGAGATTTTCAAATAAAGATTGTAAAACCTGTCACTGATATTGTCAATTCTTTAATTTCAGTTATTCCATCTGGCATTTTACAACCTCCGTTCTATCATGGTGAAGAAATTTCAATGTAAGTTCTTCCTTTTACTTTCTGCTTCTGCTGTTACAAAATTGGGTTAACACATCGTCCCTATTAAAGTGAACTGTCAAATCTAGAGAAAATGACAAACTTCATAAAGCAGGGAAACAATGGATTGCCAACAATGTTGATTTAGATATAATCTGTCTTTCCAGCTATTTCACGATATTTTATTATCAAACTTCTAAACCAAGTCATTAATTTTTATAATTATATATATAACAATATTTAGATGCAACGGGGTTGTTTTAACTCAATTTTTTGCAAATTAGATAGCTAACGAGTACTGATTGAAGAGTCGATAAGATTGTAAATTTTGCTAACAGGGCCATGACGTATGGAGCTATTGGATCAATCTTAGGCCACGAGCTTAGTCATGGCTTTGACAACACAGGTAAATGATTCTTAAAGTTATCTCAACTTTCAAGTATATTTGCAGATTAATATTTTATTCAAATTCTAAATCGGATGGATTAGAACAAGATTTTTCGGTAGTGTTTTTACGAAAAAAAAACGGTTTCAGAAGTTGATAATTTGGCAAGTAAATGTCGCAAAAATGGTAAAGTAATTCTAGGCTTATTCGTTACGACAGGTATAAAGCCAATGATGCTGGTTTTGGCTAAATGGTCTTGTTGTATTGTCGAGTTTTTATTCGACGATTAACTATGAAAATATCATTCAGAAAGTTTAGTTACAATGCGGTCTATAAAGTCGTATTGCATTAATGAAATGAAACAGAACAGAATGGTTTAATCCTCAAGGTGATGTATCTAGGTAGGACTGAAGCTTGTATCGAGTATTGTTTTGATAGTATTACTTTCGAGAGAATTGTCCTAATGTCTGAGATGTAATCAGTAAGAGGGTTTCTATAATGTTTCAGGACGAAAATTTAACAAACATGGTGAACTGCGAAAGCAATGGTGGACGTCTAAGTCATTGAAGAACTTCAAAACTCGATCTAAATGCATGCAGAAACAATACTCAAAGTACAAAGTTAGAGGAAAATATCCGGTAAGCTTGTCCTTCTCTTTGAACAATGCGTTGAATCTATTTTTAACAAAAAATGGAACTTATCAACGGACGGTGTCGGTTTGATGTTTACGTATGAAGTATAATAAATATTTTTATGATCAAATAGATTTTTGTACCAGGTGCTACTATCTTTATTCAAACACTCTTTTTGTGGTACAAAATTCAAAAATGGTTTTGAAAAAAGCAAACATTTTAGACCATACTTAAGCTTTTCGTCTGACACTCTTCAGAGTACAAAACGTCAGAAAATAGATCAAAACATTACGCTAGGAAATATATATACCCAATTGTGGATCGAAATAGGCCAATCAGAAACGCGAGCACACGACTGTTGAGGTTACCCAATCAGTGTCTTTTTCAGGTATTGTATTCTCCTTTTAAAAATTGTTTTACATTTACCTTAATTTTTGATAAATTTGTGTTTTGAATGATATTGTGAATATGTTTCTAAGCAGACATTTTTTTTATTTTTAGGTAAATGGTAAGCTAACCTTAGGAGAAAATATTGCTGACAACGGAGGATTTAAAACGTCTCTAAGAGTAAGCTACACAAAAATTATCATTCATTTAATTTCATTGTTACATGTTTTGTTTACTGGCTAGTATGCAATCTTCGATTTGTGCTTTCTATGCTTTATGATATGTTGCTTCGCCTTGTCTGTGATCCTAACCACGGCGCCCGTATAAAATATCAATTGATTTCGAAATTATTGTTTCTTGCCTTGAGTTTAAAGTATTCTACATTCCTAGTGCATTTTAACTTATTTTCGATTGCTTTTTCTTCTTTATTGTGGACTGACAAAGCATTGAAGAATTTTCACAAAATTTGCATCCTTAGGCTTACCATAACTGGCTGCGGGAGACTCGCCAAGATTTCATTCTCCCAAACCTTGGCTTCACCAACGACCAACTCTTCTATATCTCATTTGCACAGGTTTGTAACCAATTAGTAATGAAAAATGAGAGGTTTAACTTAATATTCATAATTTACCGATATCAAATTGTACCTCCACATTGATTCTATGCCCCTTACTAGGGGAGGCTCCTCATTTCATCCGCTTGTACAAGAACTCCTATACATACTGACGATTTTTGCTCTTTTGAAGGGAAAATAGACTAAGTATTTACTGCATGGTCGATAAGTGACCTAACAAGTAAAATCACACCAAACCATGACATAAACTTAGATTATGCTTGAAGTTCATTTAAGTAGAGATTTTCTTTGAAAACCATTAAACTTTGCACCTAGCCCCATAGCCAGGGAGTCTTTCTCTCTCAACTTTCTGGTGAAAACGAAAATTTATTATAAAGTTTTTTATGGTGTTCATTCACATGGTGATTCAAAAGATATGATATATAGCGTTGACTGTACAAGTAATATCAGCACATAATGCTGGTACATATTACAAGAGAAGCACCATGTCAATATTCAAAGTCAGTAATAGTATCCAAGCATTCATTGATACCTTAACAATGGAAAATCACCAGGCAGGCAAGAAAATTAAATTGTGACTGACAATGATCAAAATTGCTCACTGTCATTTGCTTTTAATCGAAGATGTTTGTTCAATTACACAACGCAAGGCTACAGTCGTAAATACGTCAGAGCCCACCGTCTCTACTTTAGAGTAAATTTACCTCTACTAAGGACCCGTTAAGCTAGATATATATAAAAAGACGTCTATATATCTAATAAAAGCATGGTATGTCTTCAAACTAGGCGTACTGCAGCAACAGTAGACCTGACGAGCAGTATCTAGCCACGCTTAATGACCGTCACACCGAAGAGGAATTTAGGTAAGTTTTATAATTTTGTGTGCCTCCACGTGGCTAAAGCACATTGTGGAATATTTAAAAAAACTGCTTACTTCCATATATTAATATCCCATTGATGTAGACACTACGCTTAAAATTGCATTCCCATTAACAATACGTCATTGCATCAAAATGACGAACTATTCAAACAAACTTAAAATATCCAAACACTGAAAGTTGTATTTAGCCTCCCTGGATAACTTTTTGTCAAGGAATTTTCACCCAGATAGAATAGATAAAAAATTTCCTCCTAATTTCATGTTTGGTCTTGTCAACCGCACAGGGTATTATAACTCCTTTGTTGATTTTTTTTTCATTTTATTTGGAATATCCCCCCCCCCCCCAACTAATCAAATCTACAAAAAAATGAATGTAGCAATCTAGTAAATCTAGTAAAATCTAGTAAAAGGAATGTATTTGCTAGAAATTAAATAATAAAGCCAGGAAATTTTCTTTCTTTCAAAATAGTATTTTTCGGTTATTTTGTTGGAAGTGGTTATCATGATATCATCGTGTACTATCATTGTTTCGTAGGGTTGTCGGGACCTTGTCAAATTCAAGAGAATTCTCAAAGGCTTTCAAATGCAAATCAGGCTCTCCAATGAACCCAAAAACGAAATGCTTCATTTGGGTAAGCGACAAAACAGACATAGAAAAAAGGAACACAGTTTAATGATATTAGTCATTTTACTTCCTTCTTTTTTATCTGAATAGTAAATAGAAATAATTCTCTACTCATTCCGATTTTAAACGAAAGAGCATGATTATGATAAAACATTGATTGTGTCAAATTACATGTAATCTCCAAAACAAAATTGTTAAAAAGTAAAAATATGTATAGCATACTAACTTCGGTTTTTTGAAATTCTTAAATGGTTGTAAAATTCTTTATGAAATCATAACATCGTCAAAATCTATGAAATTAATACACTTAGCTAAATTTTGGATTCATTCTCATAGTTTCATCAAAACAAACAACATGTTTATGATAACCAATATTGACTATTTGCTATAAAATTACTTAAAAAATGCCATCAAAATACAGTTTATTAAATAAATGGCTCTGAGTTCATAAACGGCTCTAGGTTTCAAAATAAGTGGGGAAACTTTGCTTGCAAACTAAGAATTCATCCTCTTCTTACGAGAACTCTTTTTAATAGGCAAGTAAAAAATTGCTACGTTTTCTGACAATCTTTAAGTAAATTGAATACAGTGGCGCAATAGTTTATCATATAAGCTTACTTGAAAACTTAGTCTATGAAAAGACAGACTCTAATTGTAAAAATGTCTGCTTTCTTATCTATTTGTAAACAAATCTTCTAAGCCCCAGGCAGTTGATTGTAATGTTGATAAATGATAGATAAATTAATGTCTCCATGAAATTCGTTCGTCGAAACTTGTGATTTAGCTTGTAAACATGAACTTAGTAATTATATAATGATAATTAAATCATGTCATAATCATTATTTTTGAACTTAAAAGCTGTACCCTTCTGTTTGATTTTTCTTTCAAATAAAGATTGCAAAGTCATGTTACTATTTTTGATTATATTATTATTTTTTTATCTATATTACAAAAGGGATTTCTTAATGAAAATTTTGTAGTCAGATTCCGTGATTTTCACATTTTATAGGGATATTTTCTATAGCTCTCTAAAAGAATATTTTCTATAACTTTTCTTTATCTGTTTTAAGTATTTCTTTCTAATGAAAATTGTGAAGGTAAATTTAACATAGAAGGTATATTCAACACAGTTTTTTTATTACTGTTGTGCGATAGTACACTGACATGGAAAGCATACGTGTAAATACCTTGCCTTGCAATTTTTATGTGAAAATGAAAGATTCGTGACAATATTGTTACTTTGGATAATCTTTAGGATAAATTAATGCTCATATAGAATTCACTAAACTTTAAATAAAGTTTTTTAAACTTTTAAACTCAAAAAACTTTTATCCTTGAGGAAGAAATAGGCCTAAAAGGTCCTAACGGTCCCTCGTGTATTGTTCTTTAATAAAAGGTGGATTTACAATAGAAGATGATGATGTTAACTTCAGCAATTCAAGCATGTAATCACGTGAATACTAAGACTTTTTGAATTATCATCTTGAATTGAATCAGAGGCTTCAAAATTTACTGTATGAAAAACATTTTCTACCCAAATCTATGGGCTGCAAAATTCTCCATAAAAATCATGTTTTCTGTTTATTCAGAAATGCTACACCTTGTCTTGTACTTTATGAAACCATTTCTGATCTCAATAATGATAAAGGTCTAAGACGGAAGTTTAACTAATTTCTAATTTACTTACTTTTGATTTGCAGTTTTTGTAAACACCAAGATACAAGATTGTTTGATAATCAAATTGATATTAAATTTATCTATATATGTCTCTATTGTGTATCATATCTTTACAAATAACCTGGTGTTTTGTAAAACATGAGGCAGCTTTGCTTTCCCCTATCTGAGAAATATGCCATTTTTATTTTTTTGATTTCTTCTTTTTATCCTTTCCTCTTTTTCCTCCATGAGTATATCTTCCCCTGAGCACCCTTCTCACCAAATACCCTCTCCAAAATGCTTGAATTTTCAACGAGGCTCCAACTTTTATCGCCAGATCTTCCAATCTTTTTTGTGTTTTTTCTTCTTTTATTCGTCGCTCCTCGACAATCTTTTCATATTCTATCTCCAGTTTCGAGAACTGCTCTTCCAAAATTTTCAAATCTGATTGATTCAAAGCCTGAAGCTCGAGTAATTCTTCTATTTCGTCCTATTTCGAAATAGATGAAAAATATTTTTCTCAAATCTTAACGCAGCTTTCCAGGAAAGTGTCTCAACAAATAACGCTTTGAATCAACTTATCCTAACATGAAAAATTACCTTTTTCTGAACTCTCTCTCTCTCTCTCTCTCTGTCTCTGTCTCTCTCTCTCTCTCTCTCTCTCTCTCTCTCTCTTCCTCTCTCTCTCCTCTCTCTCCAATCTCTCTCTCCTCTTCTCTCTCTCTCTCTCTCTCTCTCTCTCTCTCTCTCTCTCTCTCTCTCTCTCTCTCTCTCTCTCTCTCTCTCTCTCTCTCTCTATAGCAAGTTACATTTTTTCGAAAAGTTTAGTTTGGTCCTAGGATCAAGTGTCGTGGTTTTCAAAGAAACTCAATTGGACAGGAAGCGGTTTTTGTTGCAAATGTGCCACTTTTTGGTCGATGCTCTCAAAGTATCAATTTCTAATACCTTCTAATTTCAAAAATCAGTGGATTTATAATAAGCTACAAATTATTCAAAGTTATTCTTATATGACAAACAACATCTACTTCAGTTGGGGCATAATTCATTGAGAACTTGCAAGCATTTTTGATATTTTGTAGGTAAAGATATTCATCGATTGGTACTATGGCCAAAGGGAAGGTTGAATATGGACAATATTTGTTTTCACTGACGTCTTTACTCTTTGGGGGTGGATATTACCTTCATGCAGGTAAGCTGCTGCATAGAAGCAATGTCATTCAAATGATGACTGTCATTCTTATGGACCAACAATTATTTCTACAAACAGTAATGAATTGCTTTGTATAAGAATTCGTAAAAATTAGCTTGCCTGGCGCCATTCAAGATCCTGGTCGTATTTTGATATCCAGTTGTGCAACTCTGTTCGAAGTTTATAGCTTTTCTGTGATAAACAAAGTTTCATCTTGCAATAATATTTTAGTTCTAAGCTATCAAAATTTTTAGAAAATTTGTTTGTTCCAAGCTATCAAAAATTGAATAGATTGAAATGCGAAGCTTCTCTACTTAAATCTACAATCATTGGGTAGATAAATTATATGAAAAATCATCTGAAAGTAGTATTTTTAAGCATTTTCCCTTTAGCATCGAATAAGCCAAACATGGCCTAAAAAGATAGCAAGCTTCGTCAATATGGATAATTGAAGTACTTATTTGAGTTAACCTCACCTTGCGAAGATAGGTTTCCTCCTTGAAATGCTCATTTTTGTTTTTTCGTAAATTGTTTTGAAGGGAGTGAAGCTGCTCTAATAGACAAAACGCATTTTTGTCGTGAACTTTGCCCTCAGATGAGATCTGTTTTGCAGTGTCGGAAGAAATCCGGTCGTGTTCATTCCGTGCATCTTGATTTGCTGTCTCAAGGTCTAACACTAAAGCTTTTATTGACAGATCAAGGGATGAAATCTACAAAAAACATTGCTTAAGTGAATGAATGTATCACAATGGATGCAAAGTTTGGGTGTACATAACTTTAGTGGTACAATAAAACAACATTATATCATAAAGCAAAATTCAAATGACAATCTGCGTCTTCTAAAAACAATAGAAATGCCAGTTTCTTACTGTTTGGGGGATGGAGATATTTTGTTATATTTTTTCGTTATATTTTGCCTGTAGCGGGGGGAGAGGGGGGGGGGTGTTGCTCAGCTCATTTGCCTATAAAGTGCTTAGGCCATCTTTTATTTGCTGATAAGTCTGCAAATTTTGACAGAGCACCCCTTACATGGCAAAAAGTTACTTGTTTTTGCAACGGAATTTTCAAGAGGATGTCACAACCCTCTACGCCCCACCATAGCGACATCTTTTCAAGGAAAGTGCAAGTTTGGTCAAGAGGTTGAGTTAGAAAAGGTTGTGGAAATCAAGGTAGCATCGATTTTGTCGAATCATCAAATTGATAAAGCGAATAAATCTTATGTAGTGTCGAAATGATGATGGGCAAATGATGGACCCAATTATAAAATAATGTCTTATTAAATTCATTAGGCTATATGAAACTTGATGGATAACTTGATTTTTACAGAAGTTGGAAACTTTTGAAAATATATTGAGGACCATTCATGTTCATATGATTACAATCTTTAAACATTTACACTGGCATTCTTTTCTTCGATGCTTTCTTGCAACTGCTTCTCTAGATTAATTATCAAGTCATATGATCTCCTTGATCTGCCAAGAACTGTTCTGAGATAGTCCAGCTTCCTGTTTTCCTCTTTTGGACACGTGAGTAGCCGATCTCTTGCTATTCCCCAAAGGTCGTCAAGGGTTGTGATCAAAGCCTGGGCACTTGCTGATGCAACGCCTAGATTGGGCAATAAATCACAATGCTTTCTTAAAAAATGATTGGAAGAAGTCAAATTGAATCTTTTTATGCCTGAGGTTGCAATATCGTACTACTAGTTAGTTTACAAGACCAAATAATTTTGCTCAAGATCTTGTGTATGTATGTTAAGTTTATGGTAAATTTTAATTGTCAAACTTTGGTGTTTGGCACTTTAAGCGGAAAAATCCCCACTTCTTCAAGCAATAAATGCAAAACCTTTCAAAGATATAGGCAAGATATCAATCTGTTAGAGAGAAAGGTAGCAAATTTTAGGACAATACCAGCAACCAGCAACCAGTAAAAAGTTTGATGATTGGGCATGATAATTTTCGATTTTGTACCAATCAGTCTCTCTTTAAGTCCAGAGAGGTAGGAGAACAGATAGCATAAAGAACTTGCAATACAAGCTTTATGGAAAGTTTACCTGTCCTCTGTTGATATTTTCATGAAGTCATTTACTATACAGAACCGAAAATGTGTTTTAGAAGAGATTTCCAGTTGCAATATCTTTTTTCAAACTTTTGTCTGCTCACCTTCTGGCTCTATCTTTGGCTCTTTTTTCAAAGCTGCAAAAGCATTTCTCAATGAAATTTTGAACTGTTCTTCCATTCTCATGTTCCCACGAAGATAAGCAGAAATTTCAAAAAGGTTCCCCGCAGCAATCTTTGAAACACTGGTATGTTTTGATATTTCATTCTCTAGTGTCTGCGAAGTCTCAATAGAACGTTTATCCTTCAAAATTAAAAAAGATAAATATATGAAAGAATCATTTTCCGAAACAAATACTTTTCTTTAGAAATCTTTTCATTTTTCAGGAAAATGTATGCCAGATACCTGCGCTAGAATAATTGAAATGCTTCATCGCTGATCAGATCGATTACGATTGCCGCATTGGCAAAAAGCCACCGTTAGAAAATATTCTGTTTGAGAAAGTTGCTTGTCCAAAAACTTCAAAATAGATAAAGATTACTAAAAAAGTCCACCCCAGTTTTTTCGAGCTGGCGACATCACTGTCTCTATCTTTACTAAACTGTATGGTTTAACAATCATTTTTCTTTGTTAGTTCATTAGTATATAGCTCTATTCAGCAAAAAACGCTGCAATTTTCTCCATTATGCCTAAAATATTACGATAATAATGGTTATTTCTTTGATATATAATATATACATGCTAGATAAGAAGAGTTGTAAAACTACCTTAAATTCATCGCACAAAGCTGCTATTACACTGACCAACTTCACATTGTCATTCAGAATTTTAATAGCATATCCAACTCTTTTTGCTTGAATATCTTCCAGATGCTTGTGTTCAGGATCCAAGTTCTTTAAAAGCTTTTTCAGCCTAGCGGCATCCTTTTGCTCGGACTGGTCTCCCCGCATTCCTTGTTTTTGCAACATTTTCTTTTCATAGATAACACACATCCATTCACCAATATTACAGGTTAGAATGCTTCATCCTTTAAAATGATTTATGTTTTACAGTGATATCGATTATGTGACGTTATATTGCTTTAATTAACTACATATTGTTCCAAAAGAGGCTTATTTGACGTTTTGAACTAGAATTCTTTTTCAATGCCAAAGCACGAAGCCTAATGTTCAATGCGAGCTGTTTCTCTCTCTGCATACTTTAGAATATATAAAGCGTTTTCAGAAAAAGAAAATTTGTTTTCTAGAAAATCTGGATTTTTCAGTCTTTCGCCTCAAAATCAATAGATATACAAACAGTTGGCGCTGTTTTCAACGAAAAATGGGTCTTTCTCCAAAATTTATCTGCCAAAATGCTATGCCAATAGACTTAAAAGAATCGCAGCTTTTAAGGGTCAAATTTTTGTGTGAAATGAAAACAAAACCAATCGGTATTTGCACGAGTAAATGGTACTACAACGTTTTCTAAGCCCGAAAGCATATAAAAAAACTGCAAGTTATTAGCAAATTTGAAATACTGATTTTCTCCCAAATTTAAACCCATAGGCTTGGAAAAACTGCCATTTCTGAGTGCCAGTATCCTTTGATAAACAATATGAAATTTTTTATGTCAGATTGCAAAAAACGTCGAATTAACTTCAATTTCCTATAAAATAAATGCTAGTTACTAATAAACGAGAAAATTAAAACTCAGCAAAAATTTATGCCTGAAGACATGGAAAAATCACAATTTTTGAAAGATCATAGTTTAATTGCAAAAATGAACGGAAAAGGTTTTAGAATCAAGTGCGTGCAGTAAAAAGTGCATGCAAACCCAGAAACTTGGTACAGAATTGGTAAAAATGAGGTTTGACGAAACAATTTTTCTCGAAAACTTATTCCGAAATCACAGAACACAAGAATGCTTGAAGTAGCAAATTTTCTTCCATATCTAGGCCAATAGGCTTACAAAAGTCTAAATTTTCGAAGGTCAAAAGTTTATCACAAGAATAAATGAGAAAGTTCCTAATAAGACTTAGATATGACTAAAGCATAATTACTATATAGATATAGAAAAATTGTTTTGAAATCACAACATACGAGAAAGTTAATGTTTTTGTTTATCTCCAAAATGTTTATAAGTTTGGAAATTTTGCTGAGCTTTTTTACGCCTTTTTCGAGGATGGTCACAGACTAAAAAAGAAATTTGACTCGATCAAAATTCCCAGCTGCCCCGTGTTGGATTAGAGCTGAACAATGAGAGAAAAGTTAGATTATAACTTTTTGCTTAATTGCCTTTATTTTCTACATGAAAATAGGCATATTTGACACTTATCTATCGGTTAACTTCGACAATAGCATGCAATTAATTCTTGCAGATTTTCATTACCATAAGCTTTTTGACTAAAGATAGGAGGCTTTATCTTTTGAAAAAACGCACATATTATACCAAGAAAACTTTTTTATGGAAAGAGCTTAAGCCATCTTTATATTTTAACACTTTGACATAAAAATATATCATATCAGGTTCTTTTGCTGATTATCTCAGTTCAATATTTTCCAACTTATTGAGCTAGCTATCTAGGGTCTCTTTCTGTCAAAGTTTCCAGGCAAAAGATGATTACGTTAAGCGTAAAACATGGAGTTGCATCGAAAAACTATCTTGTTCTCTACACCAAAATGTGCGTAGTTGTGCTTATACAGCATCAAGCACTTTATGGCAGAGGGTTAAAACAGAAATTTTCATTATGTTCCTCAATGCACTTCTTTCATTTATCAACGAGTTGGCGTTCATTATCTGTATTTGATTCGCATTTAACCGTGTATAAGTCCAGTTTAATTGTTTAAGGATCGATAACTTTGCTATATTTTCTTCGTATTGACAATTTTATATTATTTTATGATAGGTAATGTGAAGGAAGCTAGGCCTTTCCTGCATTTAATTTTGTCAAAAGCTTGGCACAGTATATTCATGATCCCACACAACCTCTCCTTTTTAATGGGAAATGTTTGCAGGAAAATAAAACACATATCAAAAGGGACCTGTCAGTAAGTTTCTTCCAGATAAAATTTTGACAGCACGATTTTATCATTAGTTTGCTAAATTTGAGTTTCTAGCAGTAGAGCAAGGAAGCTGTAGAACCTAATGGAACAGCTTTTATAAAGACTAACGGAGAAATAATCTACCAGTTTGGCTTGCCACTGTAATCTACTGAGAGAATTGGTGGATCTCTATAATCAACGAGAAATATCAAGTTTCAGTATAATAAATTTAAAATTACTTATTTCAAATATTGATCTTACCAACTATTATATTTTAATACAATGACGTAGACATGAAGTAGTTGAACTTGCATACTATTTTGACCTGAGCAAGAATGAATTTCTGTTGAAAAATTTAAAGTATCTATTTTACAAACCCACGCTTCCTGCTAAAACTTTATCAATTATGTCACGTTTAGTAGTTTGGTACATATATACAACATCTTAATTGCTATTTCCTATTAGATATTCACGTTTGAACTTTAGAGTCATTGAAACTGACCGGATTCATTGCTTCTAAGTAGCAAAATGTTTCGTTTTTGCTGAATTTATGAATGGAATATGTGGTTAATGAGATACGTAAACAGTCTGTGATGTGCCATATTAAGGAGTTTCGATGTATCAGGGCCACAATATGGTTAACCAATGCAATGATTCTATCGCTTCATCACTTTTCAAACTATAATTAAATTAAGAGGCGTTTCCGATTCTAATAAGAAGCCACAGAAACCCAAACTTAACCTTATTGCAACTCAGAGCAAATGTTTCTTGTGGTTACATCATACGCCAAGGTACTTCTCCTGCAGCCATTTAAAGTCCCAATCTAAAGTCTAACTATAGTCAAGATTATTTGGATTTCCATACTGCATCAGCAGAAAAGGAACAACCGTAAAATTTAATAGCAACAAAAAAGGCCCCAATCTCCAGAGTGCAGTCCATAACTAAACCCATTCCATGACTTTAAGCAACTGATCAAAAATGATTTTATCAAACATGGAAAGGACATGGCATCTATTTCTAGTTGAACTTATATGGATAATAGTAAGAAGAACTTCTTGTGACTAAATAGGCGGGGTATTTTATGTATTCTTATGTTACGCTCTTGTGTTCTAAAAAGTAGCTCTTTAACACTTAGCATTTAAGAAATCTTTGAAAACTTTTATGAACCTGTTAGCTCACGTACTGTATAAACAAAAAGAAAGAATCTGATTATTTACCCAAGTCTATGTAAAATAATCTATGTGCACTGTGGGAAGGTTTTTATTCTACTAGAGGTTTCTTCTTCATCATGCAAGTCACGCTGGCTAACTGGAACCTCGATTTCCGTCGCCTCTTTTATGTTTAAGAAAGAATGAATTTATTTCCAAACTGTGGAATTTTCAAGAGAAGATTTAAGAGTTCCCGAATTGGTGTTTGGATGAAGAAAACATGCAGCAATTGTTTTACTTTTTTCAATCTAAGTGCGATTGTTCGATTCTTTGTCTTATCGTACAGTATGAACTTAATTCTCTTCTTGATATTTACATGCCAGAAGCAACAAACAAATAGATATAAAGTTAACGAGAAAGGATATACACGTGACTCAAAGTCGACTACGATGTTTAAAGAGATTTGACTGACCACTATAGAAAAGGCAGGCAAAGGCTAAGATTCTTTGGTTTTACCGGAAATATCTTGGCAACGGTTCGGTTTATGGGTAAACCATCAAATTTAATTGAAAAATATGACTAAATATGACGCAGAGTTTTAATGATGCCATTCCACATGCACGTCTCTTGAAGCTGTAATAGCATATGATTATAGCTGTCCATGCAGTGGGATTTTCCATCCACTTAAGCAAATGGATTTCAGAGACATTATCTTCCTTTTTTAGGTACATGACAAACTAACACGTCTTCGTCATAGCGGCAAGTTTCACAACGCACTTCGCAACACCAACGGAATTTGCAGTTACACCGCACTTTTTTAGGCCTAACTTCGTATCTTATCGAAAAGCCGCAGCTGTAGCATAGCTCGTTGCAGTGTCCTTTTGATCCACGAGTGCTGTCTCTAACTGGAATTCTGCAAGCGCGACCAATGGTACCTTGAGAGCCATGGCTTTGATTCACTTTGCAATAGTCCGGGGACTCCGATAGATACACAAGTACATCTGTCAAATCAACAGCATTCCTCGATACCGTTGGCCTAAGCATAAAGTTTTTGACCACTTTCCCTTTGTAAGCAAGTTTGTAAAGGTATCTTATAGTGGTTCCAACCTGTTTAAGAGTTGGAAGGTGTCCGGCGCACGTCTTCAATGAGCACATCCCGGATGTGCCATGACATCTGCAAAACCTTTTCGCCATATGTTTAACCACCTGCGAAAAATGAAAGAAACATATCAAATGATTCCTCTATGGGATGGGATGCTTAGAGAAACTCTAGAGTTCAGTTTCTGGTTTGCTTGTGTACCAAGAATTGCCAGTGTTGGCGCCCAAGAGTGGCATCAGGGTTTTTAGCCCCCAACTTTCATCAAAACATGGTCCAAATAATTTTTCTAAAATTTAACGAGAAAATTTATTCCAGAAGAGCAGCTCATATTTTTTTAAACTTGCCTAAGAAAAATAAACTTGATATGAAGCTCTGATGTGAAGCAAAAGGGCGTGGTCTCATTGTTCACGCCCATTCCCCTTCACTCTGCAGAAACTGGTGCCGCCCCTGCACACTTCTTGAGATTTCTCATTGCCATTTTTTCAGACCCTTTGACAATCTGAAACAAACTGCTTACCAAACATGTTAGTTTGTTCATTATTTTCGTGCGACATGGTCGTTTGATAAATCTAGTATATTGCAGAATTTATTTTTATAAGTTTTTTGAATCTTTGATCCAAGTTTCAAAATATTTCAAATGTATGATGACATAGGCCTATTTCAGTTGTTAAGACACTATATTAAGAGAATGAATTTTTAGATGCTTACATTTCGTCCAATTTTGTTGTTATGACGGATCGCAACAGCTTTGTCCATAATATATTTTTTAGGCTTGATCTTGAAATCTGTAAAATACTCAGTTATCCACAATCCGAAACGGGTATGTTCGTCTTCGGCCTCTTTTTTATCCGTTAATTTCCGCTTGAATGCTTTTCGCAATGGCGCTGTGCAGCAGCGAGAGATCTCCCCTTTATGGCATGCAGTAGCTAATCTTAGAGCAACGGATGCCGAAGTAATCGCATTCATGTAAGCAATTTCTTTGGTGACTAGAATACAATTTATAGCATGGTGAAGAAAGTACTGAAGAAAGAAGTTGAAAATCGACAAAAAGGTACTCAAGAAGAGTCGTCTATAACTCCAATCATTGCTTACATATAGCTAGCTGGGTTGACGTGCTAAGGAGTCCAGATCTAGTTACTAGTATTTAAGTAACGGAATATTATTCCACATAAATCTTTATCTTTTGGCGATAGTTATAATTGATGCAAATAATATCTTTGTGGATATCTTTTACTTTTAGTAAAACCTTACCATTATCTGCTTATTTTTACCAATAAACAGCTAGAAGTTTTCCGATAAAATTATCGATTTGACACAACAGCTGACATTTAAAATTTCATTCCAAGTTAGCAGAAAATACTTTTTCGCTTAATATTTCTATGAATTAAAACGACGATTTTTATAAAAGATGTCATTTCGAGAATTTAGAATTTTGCAAGTGTTTTATTTTAAAACCACAAAATGGATATGCTCATTTGCAACCTAACTTCAACATCAGTTAAAAAAACGAGAGAGTAAAATCGAAGGGCTAAAAAGTTCCAGATGCCAAACCTTCTGGTAGAAACTTTCTTTTTAAAATCTTTGACGTAATTTTCTTCGAAAAACTGCAATTCCACCTTTCCCAACGAAAACGTCTTCTGCATTCACTTAGGCCCTTTTTCATGCCATTTTCTGCGAGCTGGAAAAGTTGCTGCTCTAACTGGCGAAAAAGCAAACATATTTCTATTAGCTTGGATAAATAAGTATTTTCAAAGGTTTTGTTTGAAATTGAAATGAAGATTCAAAGATCACTTGATATCCGTTACTACAGTAAATAAACATTGCCTGTGCGCAGTTTATTCAACAATTTTCGACGTGACAAAATTCAGACAACACTTAACTTTGTACAAATCTTTGTCCGAAGGTTTTTCATAACGCAAAATGTTCCACTTGATTTATTTGTTTGAGCTTCAATTTGCGCAAATTTGAAAGGAGAGAATTAAATTAATATTCGAAACAGCTTTTCGAAATTTTTACTATATCCAGAGCACTGACAACATGTCAAAAAGTTTTTTTCTTGTTTTGGAAAGAGTTGACATTTTCGTTGTTTTTTTTCAAATTAACTGAAAGAGTTAGGTTAAACAGATTTAATAAGTTAAATCTAACACATTTCATGTTCCGTACTAATGATTTGAAAACCAAAGTGAATGAAGAATACGTCACGAGAAGAGGCTTTTAAAACTGGGTAAGAAAGTTAGACTACAAAAATCATCAAATATAGAGTACTTGCCTGTTTATTTTTTGAGAGACGTTTCAAGACCCTAAAAATTTGGAATTACAGATTTAAAGCAAATGTTATTATGAAAAGTCTAGATTTGTTTAAGTTGGCTTTTACAGTGAAAAATCTTCTGTGTAAAATTCCAAACAAGATATGTTTCCTGAATAATGACGAATTAAATATTTTACTGTTCCAGAATCAGTAGTCAATTAACTATTAGAAAGAAATCAAAGCAAATGTGCTGCTTAATACTAAAAGTCTTTAGATTGTTAGCTAAACCAGTTTGGATTCAAATTGAATCAAATAGATTCAAATAAGTAACTAGATAACTTTTTTCATCAGAAGAAAAAATGATCTTCTTAATAGACTTTAGTTATTTATACTATGCTGTATCGAACATTTTTCATCTGGTCACACAAAAGAAATGACAGAATTATAAATTCATGAGAAATTTTATTTGTAAATAAATCTAAGCCCTTACCATTTGGGGATCCCTGAACTTTCCGTAAGAAGAATCAGGAAAACAATGAAGCACGGAAATATTTTTATGGCGGAAACCATCTTCTAATGCAGGACACTGTCACTTTCTAGAACTGGAAAAGAAAAACTTAAGACAAAGTCCCTCTTCATACTATCTTTTTAATTCTCGTCTCTTGCCTTTGGCAATAACCCATTCTGAGTCAAATCAATCGCACTGCATCTCATGCCAATGGACAAATGCTTTTCTCGTTGTAACACCATTGAAGGTAAAAAGATACCTATTTATAAAGAGATACCCTTTTTTAAACATACCACTTATGTGTGAAAGTTATAATTTCGATAAATCACCTAACAATACACTGTCAGACACGGTTAGTGTAATTAGATTCTTACCAAATGATGCAAGATGGCTCTAATATAGAGTCGTTTGTTTAAGCCAAGGAAAAAATAGCATCTACATCAACACCACAAAATCCCCGCCCACTTGCATATCAGTGCGTTCAAGGAGAGGTTAAGCGATAAACTATCCTGAACTAAGAAAAATTTATTTCTGAAATATAATAGCTGCTCACTAATTTGATAAGGTATGCGAGATTTTCATTCTGAATAAAAATCAGACCCAAATACAATTTCATACTGCCAAATAGAGATAAAACTGGTGTTATTCCAACACCAACAGATACAGGCCTTTTCTTTTTTGGGGCTTGCTATAGATACATAATTTCTCAAATAACTTCGAGGACGAGTGCAGTTAGGAAATTTCTGAGTCACAGCCAGCCCATGTTGAATACTTCGTATATACTGCACGAAACGAAAACAAAATAGGCAAGACACACACATTTTTGGATAATTCCTCTTGGCTGAGTTGCTAATGATTAAGAATTCTGAGCTAAAACTGCAATCGTCTAGTTGACTATGGGAATATTAGTATTACACTTAAATGTTTAGCTTATATGGTAGTTTATTCATATGTTTACAGTTGCTTCAAACCCTGATTAGCTGTCTTGAATAAAGAGGACGTGATTCATTAGTAAGAAAGAATAGAAATTTACCAAATCTTAGTTTCTAGCTTTCGATTACCATAAAATATTTATATTCCTTTTGTATATTCCTATGCAAGACCATTCTTATTTTTTTATAAATTTGGAAAGAATTTCAGCTTTGGTTGTATTGCTTTGAAGCGATCATTATATTTCATCAATCTCTGATATTCTTTCTTGAGCTTTAAAATCTTTTAAATTAACTAATAGAAAAGTTATATTCTATAAATTACGTTAAAATTCTGGGTTGAAATAAAGTCAAACCTACTAAAAGTACCAAAAATTGACTAAAATACACTGTTAAAGCAGATAAGGACCAAAATTGATGGTAGAGAGACATTGGAGGAGATGGAACTCCTTGGCCACATTTCTCTGTCCCTCTTGAAAACCTCGCAGGCATTTTAAAACAACGGAATGTACTCCTGAGATGACTCTGTTCCTTTTATGTGTAACTTATAATCTATATCATTTTGATGGTCGAGTAATAAGCAAAAACGCAGGTTTGAATATTTCTTTATTTCCAATTGAACTGAAATTGATGTTTGAGAACTCATTGTTATAAGCCTACAGTTCCAAACATAACATAAGATTCTCGACAAATAGCACACACTTTCATTAAACACTTGAATACATTATCTCACCGTTTTCTGGCTTTCGATTTGTACCAAAGATGTTTTCCGTCCCACACTTCTAGTCAGACATTGGAATTCTGGCTTCATCACCCTGTGCTTTGCATGCACAAGTAAGAACTTCCTATGATTTGGTAGTGTGAAATATTGAACAACGTTTGAGCTGGAATATTGATCAACAAACGATGAAGAGAGTGAGAGAAATCCGGAATTTCTGTCTGTGATGCACCTACCACAGGCAGTCAGGTACTCGAAAATCTAATTGCGAGCTCGTGACCTCGGCCAGTTGGATGTCAAATGGGTAATATCGAGATTGCTTTCTTTTTGACATGTACATTAAAATAGAATTCGCAGCCCTTTTCCAAAAGGGTTTGAGCACTAGTGCACATACATTGAAGCTTTGGAGGCATAACAGGGTTCTAAAATGTTTAGAATAAATACACAAAATGTGCACGACTTGTCCCCATATTAACTTGCTAGTTTGATAGTACTTATTAAGAAAATGTATTGAACACGATTTCTTCATAATCTTTCACTGCTTTAACGAAAACAGAGTTCATTTCTTTCACTAGCCGTCGTGTTTTCTTAATGAAAGACCTCATCTGAGATCGATCTCGCTTGATGACATGATAAATTTTGGTCCAGTTGATACACCGTCTGTTCTTATATGCTATTTAAAGTGAAAAATAAAAGTTACTTGCAACCTACAAGGTTACCAAGAGAGGGTCAAGCAGAGGCATCACGAACTGAAAAAGTGTCATTGCACTTTGATAATTCAACTCAAAATGGAGTGATTTATAACGAGACGGCAACAAAAAGTATTACAAATGCTTGCTAATGTTTTAAAAAGTAGCCAAAAGGCGTCGAAAAGATACCAGTATGTTGGGCAACATACCGAGGACAAAAGCTTACAACGAAATTGCTCAATAAAGGATCATTTTACTCATTTAACTTTTTGACCCAACGCTCAACAGTAGCAGTAGGTAACAAACTGAACTATTCTCTTGGAAAGAAATGAAATACACTAAATCCAAACATCACCAAGGAAGGTTATACAGAGGCCTTTGTTCCTGCTGGCTAAAAGAGACACCCTGTCCATGGGTAGAGTAAGAAAAACGAAGGAACAATCTGATTCTGACAGCGATCTTCAACGCCATATTTGAGATAAACAACATCCATTTTCAAACTGAATTGGTATTCCGTGAAATTCCATGGGTGAGAAAATACCCGTACTGACGTCAGATATATAACACCACTTGTAACCATCAGCGCAATACTATAGCTACAAATGCTTGTTGACAATCTGGAAAACAGTCGTTTGCGTATGTTACAATTAGTATAGATTCCACTTAATGAGGTTGAAGGCAATAGCAGTGGGGGGGGGACAAGTTGGTCCTTGAGATTCTTGCAAACATGATGAGAATTTCAGGGGGGGGGTATGTACGTTATCTAGATCGTCACATATAAATGACATTTCTTGGGAAACAACAGGTGTTTCCTCCGGAAGAAAAAGTTTCAAACAGGGGGAAAGGGCGTGGTGCAAATGGGCGTTGTCCCTGACACACCTTTTGTCCCCCCCACTTATCCCAGGCTGGAGCCGCCACTGGCAGTCCCGAGTAATTGAGGATGTCCTTGTTATAGAGATATAGATGGATACTTGAATCATTTCATGATCATTTCGGAGTGATAAAAAAAGATTTTCAGTTGCTGATAAATCTCTGTGCGTTGACAAAAAGCTGTAAAACATAGAAAGACAACTTGTTAAGTAGAAGGCTGTTGACAGAAAACAATCACAAGTAAAAAGATGGCGTTTAAAAAGTCTAATTATAGAGATCTATAAAATGAAATATTCTATGAGAATACAACAGTACAAAAACGATTTACACGTTATCGTGATATGTTAAATAATCCACGTCAAATTTGCTATATACTTGTTTACATGGTGAATTTTGACTTTTGTACCAAAACTCATTACCGTTCAAAGCAGATATCCAGCAATTTGATTCTGCTAAACCTTGATACATGCATAAACAAGATTTGCCTTGTCAAGAACGTCAAGGCTCTTCCCAGATGCAAAAAGACCAAAATTTGGCTCCGGATTTTCAGCAATGCTGGCCCTCTTAGCGGTTTCTTCCAAAAGGACATGGTCCATATTGTTTGGAATAAGATCCTTTCGATATGTCGCTTTGAATCCTTTGTCACATGCAAGTGTCAGTTTCTTTAAATCACCTTTTATAAACAGAAAAATGAACGATTTGTATCCTCGTATGCATTTGCTGATGTAACAGTTCAGCTCAAAGCTCAATTTATTTCTTTCTTTCGACTCTCTTAGCTTATAGACAGTATTTTTAGAAGAAATTTTTGCTACGTCGTATACTAGTGAAATGCCTAAATGTACAAAAGCCTCAAGATAGAGACCAAGTTAAACATCCACTCTAGATAAATATCTAAATTTGAATGGTTGTCATTACGATATCTAAAGATTGTCAGACAAAAAGGCTCTACACGATAAAGAAGAAAAGCAGAGAAGCTATTTAATTTTCAAGCATGTTGATATAAGCAGCCAAACATCATGTAAAAACCGAGGTAGCTTGAAGCAGCCAAACTCGCCCTTGGCTCTACTTTGGCCAACCAGCCACTTAAAGGTAGCATCATAAACTTTCCTGGTCCTCATATGAACTGCTTTCTGTGACAATTCATATAAAATTTTCAAATCTCGGATTTTCGTAAAATTCAAAGGAAACTTATAAATTTCCTTCTCAAATTTCCTCCTCTTACTTACATCACATTAATGAATGGCCTTAATATGTAGAACTGTAAGAAGCTTGCCAGAAATAACTGGAGGTCTGACCTTTGTCTCCGCATTTGTATTCAACTGCAATATCCTTCCCTGCTGGATCCGCCTTTGACCATTGAAAAGGTTTTCCTTGAGGACATGAAACATCTTTCGTCTTGATCGCGGCTTAAAAGTAAATATTTGCGTTCATTTATAACGTGTAGTTTTTAGGCATTAGAAATGGAATTTAGATGCATAGCTGTCTTTTTCTAACAGCCGCTCCGTAGGAGGGAGATAGAAAGGCTGAAATTGTTGTATCAAAAAGAAGAGTGACGTTTGCTAAGGGAGTTGCTTTTTTATTTAAGGAGCCATTATGGTGCTAAGAGAGTTGCTTGGCATTTAAGGAGCCATTATAGTACTTACAGGTACTTACATGGTTCTGCTGGTAAGGGATCTGTAATTGGAGATGACAAGGATGCGCCAAGAAAGCAACATGTAAATAATGAAAACAAGATGCGCGATTGATCCATGATTTCGGATCTAAGAAAAAGAAATGAGGCATATTAGATTAAACTGCAAGAAGCTGTTAAAATCAAAAACTGAACCCGATTGATAATTTTCTCTTCCAGCTTCTGTTAAGAGTACAGCATATTTAAGCAAAAACATACAAGAGAGGAGGGAGGACACTTCAAAATCAAAGCAAACCATAACATGATGTTCTCTCAGCAATTAGGGTAATCCCAATTGCTGGCTAGGCTAGGCATTCTCTTTTACCATGATCATGAAAATTCTACTACAAAGGACTGTGACCTCAAGATTTCTTAACGTTTTGCGTTATGTATTAAAATACAGTTCTGTTTGAAGATTTTCATTTTTGAATAAACGAAACCTCACATATCCCCGGGCAAGCCTATAACAAAATGCACGATAAATTAGTAAAAAAACACACGTTTGTAAATCATATGTTGCAAACCAAAAAGAATCCTTTTGTTTGTGATACTAGACAGTGAAGCACTGTGTTTGAAAAGCTTTATAGCAAAATGGCCTACGAGATCTTCAGAGGGCAGCGAATCTTGCATCAAAATTTGAAAATATTTTATCCGACTATAACACGGTTCTCAAGTTATGCAGTCTGGAAGAGAAATAAAATTAATCTCGCTGCTCTTAAAAAATTCTTAAGGAAATAAGTTTGTCGCTGAAGAACGTTGGAGAAGAAAATTTTAAATAGTCTTGAAAAATAGTTGCAAATTTTCTCTATCTGGCTCTTGAATAAAGATATTACAAAAGATTCAAAAGAACTAGAAAAAGTCAATACAATTATGCAGACTTACCAACACTTTCTTTATTTACGCTTTTGGTCACAAAGTTTGCTAAGGATTTGTAAATATAGCTGGACAATCGTGAACGGCAACAGGTGTGCCTTGTTCGGAACCAACGAAGCGTGATGAAGAACCCTTTGGTCAACATCGCAATCATGCTTATTGCGATAAGCAGGTAGTCTGGCTGTTCTATTTGTTCAGGGGCGTCGAGAGGGGGGTTAGGAGTGGCAAAAGGCCCAGGGCCTGTGCTTAGACGGGGCCCATAATAAGGTAACAAGATCTATTTACAGTGCAAAAAAGCTACAATTTCAGCTACTATACGGAATCAACGCCTGTAAATTTATCGCAGAGAAATGGCCACATGTCCTTGATTCATGTAAAATGTTTTTGCATGATTCATGTGAAAGTCCTTAAAAAAGTCCTGAAAGTCCTTTCTTCTCTTTTGTTGGCTTTAGTGGAAAGAGCAGAGCTTCTTCCTGCATTGTCAAGATCCAGTGAAAGAGCCCCAACATTTAATGCTAGCCCATGCATTTGGGTCTGAAGTTCAGCATGTTGGAGAAAAAGACAGCCTATATTCAGAGGATTAAATGATAGAAATATGGGTTGATGGAAGAGAGCAGAACATAAGTTAGCAAGTTAACAAATGAACACGCTATTGAAAAAAGGCTTATCGCCATTGACACACGACTGACCACTTACAAAATTAAATTTCACAGACACATTAATAGAGAAAGTATGCATCCTGGCTTAACAGCAAAGGGGTGGCTCGCCCCAATCCCCTAGATTAAACACCTAAGGGAACTCAAGTGTAGTGCCCCAAAATACTCGCTTCTATGAAAAATAATATAAGTGGGGCACGGATCTAGTATTTATTAAGCCTCTCTGAAAGTAATTAGTTGATGCTGAAATCGCAAAGCAAAAATCTGATCGAGTCCATCCAAAGTAATTAAAGCACATATGCAATTCAAGAGCACGAGCAGTTCTAATAATTCAAGGTAACAGTGCATGCTCCTTTAATGCATGGATGGGGCCCAACAAGTGTGGCCAAATCATACTGACTTGATAAATTTCAAACTAGGTTTATCTCGATCCATTTTGGATTGATTTCCTTTGAAATTCTTTTCTTATTAAATGCCTCATTCTCCGATTGCTTTTTCTGAAGCAGCCAATCCGAAAAAACCAAGCCTAAAATGCAATGAAGAATAAACACTAAGAAGAAACAAGTTTCTTATAGTTCATTTAATATTTATATACAATATAGGTACAAGATATCATACGTCAAACAATCGCCAAAATTTGCAAATGAAATAATATAAACAATAAGATTAACTACTTCCCCCAAATATTACATTGCTATTGAATTACAGGCAAACTGCTTACAAGGCTTAACCGTTAAACCAACAACATTTGAAGATAATAGTTGCAGTCATAAACTCTGATCCGACTGCATCAAAGAAGCCTCAGGGACAACAACAGCCAAATATCTAACATAGGAACAGCGAGATTTACAACTAGATTTCTTGAATGTTGAAACACAAAAAACCTTTAACGGGCTTTAAAGGTGAAAGTTTCTTTGAAATAAATATCTGCCTTTTCTGCTTACGGAGATAAGTTTTTACAGAAATCTAGCATTGCAGAAAATTAATCAACATATTGCTTGTGACAGGGTTCCGAAATAATTAGATCAGTTAAAAATGCAATAAAGGCGTTTTAGCATACTTACTATAGGGCGATTAACCCCAGTCTAAGCTATTACTATTTCCTTTTAACTATGAACTAGCGTCGCCTTTTTATAATAACATGGCCGCCATCCTATAAAAATAAGCCAATTTGATTACTAAAATGGTTGGTTCAAATGACCCTGACCGTCATCTCTTATTACAGATATTTACTGCTACATTGCAGAGAATCTGTCTTACAAAATGTATTCAAGGCGATAGCTTTTGGCGGATTCCTTAAACCTCTAGGGCTCGAAGGTTCCTAGCAACACGAAAAGTAACACGTTGTACCAATGTTATCTTTAAGCAAAAGACTCACAATTTTATAGATTTATTATTTGGTAAAATATTGAAAGTGGGATTCCTAATGAAACGTTCCCAAGAAACATTCCCAAGGAATCGCACTACATTTATACCAAAAAGTAGTAAATAAACCTATTTCTTAAATTGGAAAGGAACGAGAAAGCCTGTATTGACGCAGCAATTTAATGCGTAAGTCTATAGTTCTTTGATTCTAGTCAATCATCTTAAGAACCGTTCATGGAAAATTCTTTGAGTGATGTTAGACAATATGTGGTTTTAAAAACATAAGTATTTAAAAGTAAGGTTTTAAAAATAAAACTAATGGCTACTAGATTTTAACAGAGTGGCAAACAGCGAGGCGATTGCGGGGGCCCCAGCAAATAATTCCATTACTTTGAAAATATTTTGCTGTTATTCCCTACCCAAGTCTCCAAACAAAACATTCGTAAAAGTTGCAGGAACCAATGGGAATCAAGCTACATCTCATGTGACCGTATTAAAACTGCTTCAAGTGAACATGTGGCGAAACTCTTTTGATTTTCCATAGAATCATTTCATCAGGTTTCCGTGAAAAAGGTTCATCGTGACAATATTATAGTTTAATTTGATATTCACTCGTCGAAGAAATTGGGCACAAATCCAACGCGGAAAAAAGCACTGAAACTTTTAAGATGGCAAATATTAGTAAATGTAACCTTAAGAGAAGAAGAAAGATCTTTACAGCAAGTTCAAATTGTATATTTAATTGATAATTCAGCGGAATTTAAATAACACGAAATTCTATCTATAAATTTAAAGTATATACGGAATGTTTAAGTATTAATAAACTATAAATACCTTAGTATGTATGCGAAAATGGCTGTTAAAAGTTGCAGGAAGAGCGATTTTCGAATTCTTATCCAGATTACAAAATTATTATCATCTTTGTTCTCCTACTTTGGAAAAATGGAAATGTCTATATCTAAACTGTTGAACTACTGTATTTTGAAGCTCATTTAATTAACTATAGCATATCATAATGGTACTGTTCGTTTGAATTAAATAACAATGGAGAGTAAACTTCAGTTACCAATTAAAAAGAATAAACGGGAATAAAATCTGTAGCAGAATTTCTCTACATCATTTCAGTAATGTTCCCAGCTTTTGAAGTTATTCATTCAAGGCAGCTCCAGCCATAAGAAAGTTGCAGTCATGAAGAAAAATTTTAGCTATAAAGCTCATTGCAGTGTGGACGATATATTTCTGACACATCTTGACGAAATTTCGCTTATAAATGACTTAGCAGTGGTTTGATGAAATTAGCTTGTGATGTCACATTAACCTCACAACCAAGAACGAACGATGAAAGGCATCCAAACCAAATGTTTCACTGCGGAGTAAAGATTTGATATCCATTTCTTGAAATTCCACCTTACATTATAATTGGTTGAAACAAATGCTCTCTGGATCATCTACGTCGCCTCTTTTTAACTGAGCATTCAGCAATTTTCTTTAATAAGGCTGACATATTCGGAAAAACTACATATTCTTGAGGTATAAATTGCTCCCACTCACTAGGAGTTCCCACCACACCATGTTTACACCATGTCCTATTCTGCGTTTACAACACAATTTTCTGCGGGGCACTTTGTGCGTTGATATTTACCGCGGGTAAAGCGCGGCTTCTTCTTTGTTTGCCTGTAACTAAAAATACAAATCCCTCGATCTTGAAAGGTACATTGCATCTTTGAAAGGATCGTAGAGCCTGATGTGGTGCCTCTTCGTCAGGCGGCGCGGCTTAACATATTCTGCTTCAAATCCTGAACCACTTACACTTGTGTCCGACTTGAAATGCACGGTTAATACCCGTCCACTCGATCTGTATTCAGATTTGTGAAGCTTATGACCGCATTCGGTACCGAGCAAATTCTGCTCATCCAGATCTTTTCCATCGTATATTTTTACAAAGTCAAAATTGCAGGGACTGTCCTCGAGTTGGAACTTTTTCAATCGAAGCTCAACTTTCCGCCTTCTGCCTCGTGCAGAAATCCGCCAGATACAGTCTTGTTGTGGTGGGTAATTCTGAGAGCCATACTTGATGTGGGAGAAAAAACTCTGTACCTTCCTTGTAGCACGGAAAGTTCCACCACAGACTAAAAGAATAACAATACAGTTGTCTTTCTAGGGTTCACAATTTCTCATATTATTATTTACAATTTACTTGTAATGTTTATTACTTTCAAGAGGGATGGCAATTTGTTTTTTTCGTCAATGTTACGTTGATAATAAGAAGTCTATTTGACCGATAATTTGGCCATTTCTTTTCAACAAGCTCAACTTGACGCCTCTTGGTAACTTCACTAACTTTTTGCACATAGTCTATTGCATTCCCAACCTCCCTCCCGAACAATCTGTTTTATGCAATTTTAGATTATATTACACTACAACCAAAATGGTTCGAAAGGTGAAAATTGCCGTGGCTATACTTTACTAATGGTCGAGCAACTAATTTTTTAAGCTTCGTTTACTATTTAAGCCTTATTCAACTCAAACTAGCATATTGACTTTCACAATATTTCAGTTTTAGTTTCAGTTTTATTTTAAATGGTGGTTTTTTAGATTCAGTTTTAGTATCAGTTTCAAGTTCCATTTTAGAATCAGTTTTAGTGGCAATTTCAGCTTTAGTACCAGTTTAAGTATAAGTTTCGGTTATAACATCAGTTTTAGTTTTAATATCAGTCCTAGTATCAGTTTTAGTATCAGTTTTAGTATCAGTTTTAGCAACAGATTTAGTATCAGTTGCAGTATCAAGTGCAGTATCAATGTCAGTATTGGCACATTTTGAGAAGTATCAGTTTTAGCATGAATTTCAGAAACAGTTTTAGTATCAGTTTAGGTGTCAGTTTCAGTTCAAGTATCAATTTCAGGTTTAGTATTAGTTTCTGTTTATTATTCCAAAATTCATTGCTAAAATACATTACATAGCTAAACAAACTTTTTTACTCAACCTTTTTTATTTTGTTTTACACTTTTTATTTCCATATAGCCGTTGGAACAAAAAAAATTTAAAAAAGCATAAAAAAAAAGCATTCTTAAAGTACTTTTCTTCAAAACTCCTGAGAGTATGGATGTCGAGTAATGACCAAAAGGGAAGTACAATTTACACCAAAAGGAACACAAAAGGAAGAAAAGCAATTTTGATTGGTTTCTTATTCTTGCTCAATCAGTGAACAAAACACATTCAGATAGTTGGAGAGGCCAAGAAAGAAAATGAATTCTTACTGTTTACAAAAGTTGAGATATCTTCATCAAAATATTGTTTATGTATGGCTGACTTGAAAATCACAAAGCAAATATCATTATATTTGGTGAATACAAAAACTTGGCTAAAACTCGACCAGTTTACTTACATGAAGTGTAAGAAAGCTTAAATCCTCCCATATCATTCTTTCCAAGCTTGAATTCAACACTGAACATATTTCCTTCGGTCTGAAAATTGACATTTTTTCTTCCACTATGTTCGCAAATTGACTCTTGATGTGTCTTTTTCCCAACCAACCACTTCACCATCAGTTTACTTGAAAGGCGCTCGTTACAAATGATATCCTGTTGAAGGCAGAGAATTACATTTATAAATTTTAAGAAGTAAGCCTAATGTATGAAAAGAAAGCTATTAACTAACAAAATATATCCTGCATGCTGAAAAGCAAAAAAAATAAAATCCAGAAAAGGGGTATATTCTGAAATTTTACGTCGATAAATTGATAAACTACAGAAAATTTTATAAATATACGAGTAAACGAAATAAATATAAATACGCTAATAGATTAGTAAATATTAACACTTTGGATCGTTCAAGGTAAGGAAAATTAGTACTTGATCTTTTATAAATCTACCTAAATTGATCATACATCTATCTTCGATTGTTTAAAATGTTGCACCTGACTATGACATGAATTCATGTGGCTAAAATTATATAGAAATTAGCGATAATTTTAGCTAAAGCGATAAAGTTATCGACAAATCAATAATCCACCAGTATAAACGTAAAGAGGATCAAAAGAGAATTCTCTACAGTTGAAACAAATATGCAAAGGTTTCAAAGAGCACTTGCAATTTTTTGCATAGCAGTGGGTATGAAGGAAAATTTGGCGCTAAAACACTAAGACCATTATCACTGTAAGCAATCAACTTCAAGTTGCCAGTTTTGGCAGTTATCAACCAGTTGTACAGCAATGATGACTCGAGGGAACCAAATTGCTTACAAATGAGCAAAATCTCAAATGAGCTATAAAAATCTAACTTGTCTCAGTTTTTCATATTGAACGAGAAACAACAACAAGGTGATTACTGAAAAAGCAGGCATTCCACATTTTGAGAGGGTTACTTTATTAAATTGATGAGTAGAATTCCAATGTTATGACGTCAAGAAAATCTCTTCCTTAAACTTTTTAATTTAGAACGCACAACCCGCGAGAGCTAAATCTTTTAGCAAAACTGAGATCTCTCATTTCTTATAATCAAGTCAATTTGCAATGGATTTGACTAACTAGACAATTAGAGGTACTCCATGGGGTCCTTGCAGGTTATGTTGGCAAAAGAAAAAATTATAAAAATAGACTTTTGATGACGTTGAATTTCAGTACCCTATTTAAATAACAGACATACAAAAGATGCGTACATCGAAACTGATATTGAATCTTTGGCCTGGCAAGGTCATCACGTCCCACTTGCATTTTTCTTCCGATTGATAGCTTCTTGGATAGTTTGGAGACGAAACTGATCCTATACCTGTTGTACTGTTTATCTTGGTAGAACAAGCACCTGCAAAAGCAAATCAATTTTTTATTGACAGGGAGAAATCCAGAAAGCAATTTTTTCACTATGCTTTGGGAATAGAAAATTCCACCTTAATTGCTACAGGAGTTGAGAATTTCCGGAAAATAATCACTGTTTTAAAGTAGTAGATAAATGCCTTGCTGTAGGTATTTTTCGTTACCTGCGATGCAACGTCTTTTGTCTGTGTCCAAAACGTATCCATAATTGCAGCTACAGATTGGTTTTTCTAAAGCATTTGCACAAATATGGTCACAGTTCCCATTGTTTTTTGCACAGTGGTCGCGAACTGCAATAAAAATAACTAACAGTCAGAAACAAACCGGTACATATTTCAAGCAGATTTCTCTACAGATCAGTTGACAAGACTTACATAGCACAACAGATCTTGGTACTTTTCAAAGTATTTTGCTAAAGATGGATTAATTTAGATGCTAAGGTTTTATAAACTCAATCGTGTCCATTTATTCCCTCTCAGTGTTCTTTCTTATACATTCCAAGCAGACTATTTCTTTCACTTTGTTTATTCTGTTTGTTTTCTTCATTCACCGTACATTCCAGTTACTCCCAGCTTAACGAGTAAAAGGCTTTGGTTATGCAAAGGTTACGAGTAAACATAACGAGCAAGCCCTTCAAATTACGTACGACCGACGGTGGAAAAATTACACTTTGGTTTTAACTTACTGTGCATAAAAGTGGCCTTGAATCCTTTACCAGAAACTGTATTGTCTGAATTAAACTCAATTTTCATTCGATTAGATTGTGATTCAAACGTTCTGGGTGTTTCCATCGCTCCGCAAAACTTTTCAGAAGAGCTTCCTGTGTCAATCCCAACATAATCGTAACTTGGATTGCAAACCTTAGTTGAACAAGAGAGGAATAGAAAATCTTTAGAGAAACGTATTTTCTCTTACATTCAATTCAAGCAACTAAATCAGTTTGTAGTACATCAACCTAAAACTTGCAGAAAGAAGTGATAGACGAGCTGTAACCAGCGTATATGAAAAGAAGATAAAATTTAACTGATGAATCTAGGCAGTTATCATACGTTGGAAGCTAAAAAAGTTGAAACTAAGACAGAGGTAGCATCCCGTTGTTAAATAAATCCTTTAACCTGAATATGGTAGACAAAAATGCCGTTCAAGATTACACCAAATTTGATTGACAAGAGCAAAGGCTGATAAGGACAGAGAGCAAAGTCTTCTACGTTAGATAGTAATAAATACGACTATGTCAACTGGCTTGTTGACAAATAGATTAACAAAAAGATGAATATAATACTACTGATGATAACATAATGGATAGAATAAAAATTTCCACCATACAATTGTAGACTGTTTCTTTAACATAATTATAGTATTTGTAAACAACTGTTTATGGTTTGTGACTTTGGCAAATAATAAAAAAGGTATGAAAACTGCATACTTTACTCTCTTCCAAGTCAAATGCAATCATCGTTAGAGATATTTTGTAACCATCTTTTGCACGAATTTCCCATTTGCAGTGTCTGTTGATCGGGTAATTTTCTGGGTAACTCGGAGACTGGATCGTTCCTTCGACTTCGTTCTGTTTGTATACCTTTCCACAAGCCCCTGGCAACAGGAAATTGTGATGCATGTTTTAGCTGGATCGGCTTATTACCTTTTGATAAATAAAGAGGAGGGAAAGGGGCATACATTCTTGGTCAAGTTTATCAATAGTTTATTTCCCTTGTCTGAGTCCCGGCTCCTTGATATTAAAATAGCCGATAAGAAATGGTATTATTTCTCAGACATATTGTGTAGACAGATGGAGTTCGTTTTCTCTCTTGGACTCCTGGAAATGGTTATTTCTTTATAGGTACGCAGTAGCGATTGGACAACTATACTTGTGTTTTTTTGATTGGCCTATTTCAAGCTACAACCGGATATATATTTTCCGTTTTGTTTTTTCGGACCCTTATCCTGACGTTTTATAATCCGAGGAGAGTCACAAAAAAAGCTTTAATATGCTGAAAAGTTTTTTGCTTTTTTCAAGGCATTTTCAATTTTACGGTAAAACATTGTTCATGATCACATCTATGTGAAACCTGAAGCAAATGTTCCAACGAAAAGTTTCATTATTATTTAGAGTAGCTCAAACTTAGGACCATTCCTATCCATCTTCTAAAACCCTTTATGACTATTTCTTTTTCTCAAAACATAGGGTTGCGAACTATCCAAAATAAAAAATTCACTAAACAGAATTGGAATATGGATCAAAATGGTGAAGAGTACTATTCTGCAAGATGAATATTTAAAAACATGTGTACTTACTTTCACAATCACGCCCATTTGAATGCAGCTCCTGACCTCCTGGACAACGGCATTCATAGCCATCGATTCGGTTTATGCAGATCTCCGAGCAATTGTGAGCTCCAGAAGCGCACTCGTCGATTTCTGAGACATAAAAAAGGATAATCTTTAGGGGGTTTGTGAGAACAGACAAGCGTGCTTGAGGCAATCAACGAAGTTTAAAACCACTGACTCTAGTTGCCAACAAAAGCACTATCTGAAGGCATCTGAGAATTTAAACGAGACAACCTTATAACTGTCACAAGACCTCGGGGGGAGGGGGGGAGGGGGATGGGGGGAGGGGGTATCTTGAAATGTTTGAAGGTACGGGGACGTGCCATTATTTAGGGGTATCTTTTTTCGGAAAAGTGCGGAATTATCGGTATCAGGTTTGGAAATATGTGCGTTTTGGAACTATCATTTTTGGAAAATATTGCAAAATTATTAGGAGGGAGATTTAGCATTAACAAAATGAATGTCCAGTTAGGAATAAAAGTATGAAATCTTTATGTAATGATGAGATTTTGGGGCAAAGAACATGCCAGGTATTTGATGATTTTTATGTGCTTTAAATTTTTTATTTGCTTTGCGGAATGATGGGTACAGTTTTCATCATGTTTGCGGAATTATGGGTCACATTTTTTCAGACACGTGCGGAAGGATGGCTCCAAATTTTTAACCAAAATGGCACGTCTCCGTTCAAACTAACCTTTTTTACCCCACTCCCCCCCACCCCCCAAAAAAACGGTGGTCAATCGTTGTGAGATTTCTTCACGCAAAGTATCCAGTTATGGCTTTGGTCAAATAGAAAACTTTTTCTGTCTTTTATGCTCAGAGCAGAATAAAAACTTATTTAATCTTAGGTAATATTTCTACAATGCTTATTTAGGTGGCTTTCTGGTTACTGTAAATGTAGAAAATGTTTAGTTTCGTTGAAAATTGCAAACGATATAATAAATACCTGACTCAATCAAACGGTGACAAAACATGCAATTGTTAAAGAGAAGTTAAAGGTTTAGAGGTTTAAAAGAACATAAGATATTTCAATATCTTAACTGGCTTCAGACGATAAAGACCAAGAAAGATAGCCAAATAAAAAGGGAAAACACAAAGAAAAATTATGACAAACCAGTAACAAAGGTTAATGCGAATCCACGATGATGTACATCCGAATCTGTGTTAAACTTCACTTTCATCTTATTCCCAGTGGAAACGATATAATTCTTTGGTGCCTTCTTTCCACACAGCTTTTCTAGTCTCTTCCCAGTTATCCCATCACTCAGTTCAATATGATCGTATTCGCAATCATCACTCTTTTCAAGATCCAGCATTTGGAAACGCACGGCCACTTTTCCAGACTACAAAGTGCACTAGCGATGTTACGGCAAGTATAATAAAAGAATTGTAGATTGGAAACCTATTCATGTCTAGGCCCTGATATCAATAAGGACCCTGTACCACAAACTGTTGAGAATAACCAGATAAATACAGATAAATTATTAGCTACGCGAAAACTTAAATATCAACAGATGTTAAGCTTTCTGATTGTTAAAATGCATTACTGAGTGACTTCAGTGGATACTGATAAAAATTTAACTTAATATTCTTGAATGATGAATATCGTAAGTGTCATTACCTTATACGTATGATTTAAAAACAGAGTAAATTGGCTCGATTATGTCACATTTGCTAATTGGAAAGACTTTCAAATTTGGCCTGTCGCAAATTCGAACTCTATTTTAGGCGATGCTAAAAATTTAAAAAACGCATATTTTTAAGATGTCACCAAAATTTCATAAAAGCCTAACACCGAAGTAATGATGTAAAAAATATCAAAGTACCAACCTTAGGTACAACGATCAACCAGTCACATTTCTTATTCGGCTGGTAATTGTCAGGATATCCAGGTGACATCAACTCGCCTTTTTCGGCTTGAATCACTCCACTACAAGTTACTACAACACAAATGCGTTTTATGTCAAATTGATGATGGCAAGGAAAGGTATACAGAAAATTCTACAGAATGAATACGGATAACGCTTAGACCTCTGAATACAGTCTAAATGTAGGGTTACTTTTGCATTTCGCATAGCGCATCTCTCCCTATCTGTTATCGTGCGATTATCTTTAACACTTCAAAAAAATTTGGCTATAAAACTAATTGGAAATCTTTTTCTATTCTATCGATTAACTAAAAAATAATTAGCAGGTGATTGAAATATTGCACAAAACTTGGGTTCGATAAATTGATTTTAGAAGGTCTGGTGACGTAACAAAGGGTAACACATACCAGTGTACTCTGCAGTAAAGCCAATTCTGCTTGTTGTAAAGTACTTGTATCCATAATGGAACTTCAGCCATAAACCGGAGTTGGCAAGGGTAATAGTCTCTGGTGGTTTCTTTCCTCTGCAATATCTTCCATAAAGTGGAGATTTCTCATTTGTACCATTCCTAATCTCCATATACACCTTCCTGCAGTTATGTTTAAAATCAATTGACTTTATTCTCAAAGTCAACTTCTCGCCCGTCGTCCAAAGCACCCTCCATAAGCAAGTCAAGGGCTGAAGGTTTCGCATATTCGTTGTCAAGAAGGAAAAATTGCCGGATGACTCTACCATTGTCCTTCCGCATGCTAGAAAAGACACATTAACTACATGGGCGGGAAATCAAATGTATAAATATATTTCAACATAATTCGCGCTTGAGCGACGATACCACCCTCTTACCGCTTGGTCTATGATTTTTGAAGGTGGTAATTATTCAAGCAATGAAACTATTGGGTAATTATTTTAATTGTCCTAAACCCCATTGGCTAATTATAAATGACACATAACCAATCTTTTCATGGCAGCGGCGACTCTCTAAACCTTTTCAAGTAATACATTTTTGATTCAGTTCTTTCCGTGAAGAATTTAGAATCCTTCCCACGATTCTGATAATTTGAAAATATTTATTTAGGTGGAGCAAAATATTAGGGCACTGAGAAGGAGCATATTGTCGGTGTTACCAAACATAACAGTTACAGAAAGAAAATGCGAGAAAATAAAGGAATTCTGCTTTTCTTACTCGGGCAGTTATACAGAAGATTCGCTTGCTTTATGTCCTTTTCACTCAGTCTGACACGCTGGCCAATTGGTTTGGTATACAATCCTTTAAGTGGTCTTATTGTAATGTCGTATCCTGTCCTTGAAAATGTCGTCTTTGAATAATGCATGATGCTGTTGAAATCGTATGGCACCTTGAACGAATTGACTTCATCGAATGTCAACTTTCGGAAGTTTTTAAGCTCGCCTACAACCAGATAGATACAACGGATAAATTAATCAATTCTTACAGACCCCTGATTGAATTATATAAAAATTATCGCTTCTACGGGAAACTCGAAACCATAAAGGACAAAACAAAAACATTATACTACAGAATGGGCCTATACGACAGATTATATCCAAAAGCCACAACCACGTGAACAAAGTTAGTTTGAAAGGTTCAAAATGAACCAGTGAGCAATGTTTACTGTAAAGGCTGGACCTGCACCCGCTCGAGCTGGTTACTAATTGAACGGATAAGAGACCCTTACCTGTAAGAACATTGTCCTTCACAATTTCCACGTAGCTGTCGCGGTCCGGGCGCGTATGCTCGTGCCAGAATCCAATTAGATGGCCGATTTCATGGGCTATGGTGCCATTCCGTATACAGTTTCCTGCGAGGTTCACCCCCTGTCCCTCGCCGTCACCCATTCGACCAACATACGAGCAGCATCTGTGAGGAAGCACCAAAATTTAAATTGTTTCAAAATAGCTTTACAAAAAGATAAAATGCAGTTAAAAAGAGTGGCGGATTGTGACGTCATTTTCTATTTTTAGAATTCAAGAATTTTGACTCTGTATCCCGAAAGAACGTTACGAAATACATCTAAAAATGCAAAATCAGTTGACTGAGATAAGGTCAGTAAAATACAAGAAATTTGCTAAAGGATTACTGTTGTTTTAGCCTGGTTTATAAATGTTTAGAAACACGGCCAAATTACAGTGATTTGATGAGAATAGAGCCAGTGCTTATGTGGCAATATCTAAGTGGATTTGCAACAGATTCAGCTGATTTTGCGAGGTATTAAGTGGTGTTCTTTCAGGATATGGGGTCGAAATTTCCTGTATCCTGAATATAAAAATTGTTTTTTGTTACGTCATCAATCCGAATGTCTGATCATTTTGCGTATACGTCCATTCAGACATTTTGAACTTCCAGCATCTTCGAAGAACTTGCAACTCTAATTTCACTTAAATTCACGACATATGACTGAATAATGAGAAAAGAAGAGTCGTTAAATAGTATAAATTGATGGCCCACAGCGTTCATTACTTCATCTGCATTTGCGATCTGAAGAAAGCGGTGCCTTTCATTTGGTGATATGCATTTGTAAAAAAGCGATTGCCCTCATCATGCCCTTATAAAGTAGTAGGATAATAAAGTACAGAGTGTGCTATGATTTGAAAATATGAAAGAGAGGTTCATTATGGATATGCTTAAAGCCTTTTAAAATGACTTTGAAAAGCGTCAAGGAAAAAAGACCGAGGAAGAATTCAAAATTAGAGGAACTAGACGTTAGGAGATTACTCAACATTTCATGAGCCCAATTCATCTGAGGTTAAAAAGAAAAGAGAGTAAAGAAAATTCAAGAAAACTATGGCTGCTCTAAAAAATGTCACGATACAATTTCTACAGGCATCAAATTTTGAATCATAGCCCTAAGCATGAATTCCTTGCAATATAGACAAGGGGATATGTTTACCTGATATTTGAAAAGTAGAGAGCTTTCGGTGGTCTTACTCTGAAATTGATCTAGTATCTGGCTTTACAATTTGACAGGCAATGGATTAAAACTAGTATCAGCTTTTTGCAAAGAATCGTTTTTCATATGGTTAAGTTTCAATTCTGCGTATCAGTTAGCACATTAGGAATTTCAGCCTTCATTAGATATCGATAATCTATTCAGTGGGGTGACACTTTATATAGATTCTTTGAATATCATAAGACAGCAAGTCAGTAAGTTATGAGTTCACATGGAAATATTCAAATACACTTAGTTACCATTTACTTTCGATAAGTTAGTTTATAGAAACATCCAAAAGGAGATCACGATAACTAGTTCTCTTGTTTCGGTTACTCCACCCAGACATCTATCAAAGGCCAATCCACTGTTTCCTTCTTGAAAATGATTGAAATCCATACTTTAAGCCATTAGAACATGAAAGAAACTATTTAAGATCCCTTTCAGATCCTAGCAACAATTTCAGAACTAATCTTCTATTCAACATTGATTCCCACTGCCCTTTCGAAGGTTATGAAAGTCTCTTAGAGAAGCTGGACGATATTGAATACACTTCTTGTTGATGTACTTTTCCTCCCAGTACCTTATCAAAATCTCTTTTTCTAGCGGGCAAACAAGCCGGAAAACTCTAAAGGCAGTTGAGGCCGCAGCCTCTCCGCACTCTGTTAAAATTGCTAGAAATCCTTAAATGAGACCGGAATCATATTCCTTTTTTATATAGGATTAATTCGCACTGTTCTCCTCAATTTTTTAGTCATAAGGAAAGAATTTCCCTACCAAATAGTTTTTTACCAGAATTTAGCAGAATAAGATAGGTCATGTTTTGTGCAAAGTGACATGGGCTCAGACACAGGTTTGAAAGTGAGGGGGGGGGGGGGGGTGGGCAAGGAAAAATTTAACACCTCTAACAAAAGATTTTTTGAAAAGTTCTATTCTTTTGCAAAAAAATGGGGGGGGGGAGCAATGGACACCCCCCTTCGTCGGAGGCCCTGAGTGAATGGAGGGAGGGGATAGGGAATGCAAACAAAAACAAACATATTTCGAAATGATTAGTGGTGCATTTACCAAATCCTAGTGATTCCTCGACATCCTTTAAACCCACTACTTCGTCGGCCAAGGTTTACACACAACTGTCAATATACCAACAACATTTATCTCCATAAACCTTAAATAAATAGCTAAGGAGAACTTGTATTTAAGCAACACGCCAAAGCTCTTAAATGAAAGCGCTTACCCACAGCCACCATCACTTTGAAATACTGTGTACTCCTTCTCAGATTGTCTGGGTACGAAGCTAATACATGTGTTTGTTTCCCAGTGGCGAATGGCAGATTCGATAATAGCTTTCTGATACCCTGGAAAACAAGAAGAATATATTTATTTAAAAGCAGTGCGTACTGGCTCATTTGTTTTGCTAAGGCGGACATAGGTTCCATTGGACAGAAGATTGCCTTCTTCTTTTTATATCATAGAGAATTTTAGAATTTTACTACAGCCATTGGAGCTGAAAATTGTAACGCTATCTACCATCATATACCGATTCTTATAGCCCTTAAACTCTTGCCGATGCTTTAAACAACCTTTGATTCGCCTTGAATCTATGCAGTATTCTAATTTCAGCTGTCTAGCTATAACCAGAAGGTGAAAGGGCGTATCAACTATAAATAGACAGCATAAAAATCTATAATATCATAAGTACCCTTGTTTAAATCTGATAACATTGTAATCTTTTGTCCGCGAGACTGAATTGGACAATGCTACAGTGTATGCTGTGCAAGATTCGAAACTGATAAGCTTGCTTTTGCAGTGTCTATCAAATAAAGGGAAGCTCAGAAATGTAACCGTCTCGAGGAAAAACCAGTCTGAGGAGCTTTATATTAAATTACTTCGAATTACCAGTGCGCAAAGCTAGTGGAGATGAATGTGGTCAGTACATAGTGCAGACTTAACACAGTGCGGTTCTTAGAGAATGAACTTTCTCCAGATAAAAACTACTATAAGGAAAGGCACGTGAGATTGCGTTTTGAGATGAGAAGTCTATTCGTAACAAAGGAAGTCGTACCACTATGTTTACGTCCATTGAACAGTGGAACTCAATTGATTGGCTGTCTCTAAAGTAGTATGCCTCAAGATATTTCGTTTTCTGACAAGTTTAAATGATTGTATTACTTAAAGAAGGACACTCGAGAAAGTACCTATACTGTAAATTATCACCTTTTATAAATGACTGTTTCATTGATGACAGGAAATTATTCATAAAGAGATTGCCAATTATTCCACAGTATTCGACTCTTTCTACTATTACCTTTAAATTAGGAGCTGAGCATGTGGTCACGAGTTTGGCTAAAACCGTGAAGCCTCAAGAATTGACCAGATTCTTGCAGAATGCGAAGTACCTTGAACACAGGAGATGATGAGGACACAGGTATGAAACATGTCCGGTCTCATAAGAAACGAACCTGAACACAGGAGATGATGAGGACACAGGTATGAAACATGTCCGGTCGCATAAGAAACGAACCTGAGCACAGGAGATGATGAGGACACAGGTATGAAACATGTCCGGTCTCAAAAGAAACGAACCTGAACACAGGAGATGATGAGGACACAGGTATGAAACATGTCCGGTCTCATAAGAAACGAACCTGAACACAGGAGATGATGGGACACAGGTATGAAACATGTCCGGTCTCATAAGAAACGAACCTGAACAAAATCTTGCCAAAAGGGTTGCATTATCATAATCATCACAAAAAACACGGTCACCATCGCATCTCCTAAACAAGCAGACACAAACTTACATCAAGCAAGAACAGCTTATGCAGACGCTATTTCAACATTCTTATTTAGAGCGACATTTGAGTTATCATTCTAAAGCAACAATGCAAATAGATTTTATGACCTTATAATGCTACGGAAAGCCTCGTTCTCAAAAAACAGACGTCAACAAACCAACATTTCAAAACGAGTCATTTTCTGTGTTATGGAATTCAGCCAAAGATCCTACTCTTATCAAATTATCTTATACGTTCACAAAACTATATCTCCCTCCAGAATAACGATGAACATGAACAAATATATCTGACCTTAACAATCTTGCTGTAAGGAGCTGTTAAGGGTGTCATTAAAAAAACATCTCTGAAGGTTTTATTGTAAAGTGCCTTTGAGGACATCGGACATTTCTTGAATATCGCTTTCGCCTGCCGTAAATGCTAACGTCTCTTAGCTTCAAGGTAACGCTTTTAGCTAATCTTTAAAACTTAATGTTTAATTCTCTGAAAAACCATCATCTAGTGACATAGTACCTATGCAACGATAAAGAAGGCATGGTGTGATTTGGTACTTAATTTCTATGGGTTCACCATTGCACAGCTTGGATAGCGGGTGAGGTTTCTCGACAAAGTGGCAATACCTCTTAGATAATAGCCATTTTGGGAGCCGAAGCTGGTTAATGGAGGTATAAAATTGATATTTATAAATACGAGCAGGTTGGAAGTTGGCAAAAGGCCTTAAAATAATCTCGAGTTAGATTTTCAGGATAAGTGATCAAAAGAGAGTCGAATCAGCGATTTTACAATGGCTTTTAAAATTTCGCATCTTATACGCATGCATAGCTAAAATCGATGACGCTATCTTCACCATAGTCAATGTCTTCACGCTGCATATTGTTTTATGTGGTAGAAAAATACTTGGTTTTATGGGAATAAGTTAGTTTTGAATCAAATGACGAAATAATTAAGAGAAGGTGACATAAGAAAAGGGAGAATGAAGCTCTGCTTCATATGATGCAACTATGTATGGAATAGGTTTCATAAAATGCTGTGATGCGCCATGAGATGTAAACTTTGCCCACAAGACTTCGCCCTTACGCACATGTGCAAATGTTGCGCATTCTCATTGGTGAACAGAATAATGGCCCTAGACAATAGAAATCGGGACACATCTTCCCAAATGAAAACAGACTTGTCAAGATGTAAGGGCCATTTTAATAGGCACCGCCTTTAAGGACGATCGGATATTATTGGTAACCCATTAGGATTAAATCAAATAGTGAACAAGAATGGTGTTACAAATATCTGTGCTAAAATTGACAAAAAACTCACTGTTACAACTTAGCAAACAGAAGTATCGAAATACAAGATCGCTCTACTAGAAAGTACGTCATTGATAATCAGTTGAAGTTACATTTCACAACTCGAATGGTCAAGTTACAATATGCCACATTTGCCTCTTGATATACGATGCGACAGGTCAAATAGGTCTGGGCGTGGTTTTTTAATCTCATCTAGACCAGAAATCCCTCAAAATAATGACAGAATAGACTGCTTGAATAGTGTCGAAAGTCGCACCTGAAGCGCCAATAGCTTCATTTCAAGAAAAGTACGTGAAGACCACAATCAGAAACATAACTGTACATTTTTTGCATAATGGCCAAGGTGAGATATACCACGAGGTCTTAACGGGACTTAACGCGAAGTGCTGCAAATGCTTCCTAATGGGGATGGTCATATCTGCAACAGGACAAAAGGAAGTGGTGCAAGTAAGGGGTTTTGGCCTAAAGAGGCTAATAAGAAATCAGATTTAGTAAGGTAGAATGGGTGGGGGAAGTCTGTCGCTAGAAAAATTATTATTAAGATGTCTGGCCGTTTCACTTTTCACTTACGAGAATTTAAAGCGTTTTTTAATTGCTGAACGCTTGAACACTCTCATTGAAATTTTCAAATGAACGAGAATGTCAGAAATTAAAATCTGCTGACGAAGCAGATTTACATCCGAAAATATTTGAACACCGCAAGAGAAGACTTAATACCGATGCATCCTTGAATTGTTTGCAGAGGTTGTGCCAAGTGACTCTGTTTAATCAAATCTTTGTCATTCACAAACCATGACCCTTGATCAGTAAAGTCGTCCGACAATTCTGAGGCAAAAGCAACTGAACATACACCATCACAACACCAGCTTAATAAAAGTACTTGTTAGTGAAGATTGTGAGTGGTTATTTGCGTGACGCAAGGGTTTGAAAAATAGCTGCCAGTTTCAGTCCAAGTATGAAAGAGTGAGGGGAGTAACGAGCACGTCTCGGTAAAATCCTTCTAACGAAGCTTGTTATATAAGATTTTAAACCTTGACTCTTACAAAAACGTCATTGCCAAAAAGAAGGTGCTAGCAATAGAACACTCTCGGCTAATAGAAATTGCCTCCTACCCCTACCCCCTACCCCCCAGAAAAGCCACTCCAATTGTCAAAGATCCCTATTTCGAGAGCTATCTTCACGCAAACGGTGAAAGCAAACAGCTTACACCAAGTTTCTGTCATATCTTGGGCATAGCTGCGTAACTCGGATTGTCAATCGAAATGAATGACTTCTTGCCTGAACACAAGATGAATATAAGCTAATTGCATTTTTGTCTCATTACATAATGTAGTTGTAATAATACTGTCCACAAGAAGTCAATAACAGATTTTTTACCGCGCGCGATCTAGAAACTATTGACTACACAGCTAAATGAAAGAGGAGAACAATATCAAAGTATGAAATTTCGAGAAGTTTAAGAGCTCGCTCTCCAGTGAGGACCCTTAATACCCTCTAAATTTTCAATCGCTAGTCATAAATGAGTGTGGCTTATCGAATTCAAAGCACCTTTCTGGTTGCCTACCAAACACGATTGAGATTCCTTTGAAGTGGTTTAAGGAACGATCGACATAAATCCAGGAAAATTAGCGGCGATATCGGGTGATACTATTGTATTTTTGAAACAGATCGACTGGCGTGGTTAAAAATTGTCTAAAAAAAATCTACTTTGCTTGCTTTAAGCTTGAAATATCTGTTGTGAACAAAACAGCCCAACAATGTCTTTTTTCTATATCCGAATCGGTCATACATCTCCCAGCGATGTTAAAAAAAAGATGTTCTGTATTTAACTTAAAGGCTTTCATCATTTTATCTGTTGTTATGTTGAAACAAGAAAACCTACTTATAGCAGAGCCTTCATTGCTGGCTGAGACATTTTCTCTTAATTTGCAAGTTCAGCGCAGTCTAGTATCGGGTTCTCTGCTACAAGCATATATACAATTTTTGAGCTTCAAGCTTGTTTAAGCAAAGCTAAAATCGTGCAATAAATAAATAAAAATGGTTTTCAATAAGTTGCTTAACGGGGATGATCTACAATATCCCAGATTGGTTAAATATCTGCTCTGGGCTCAAGTCTCGTTTAATTATTTTCTTCGCTTTAACTCAGTAATAACAATACAAGACACCTTCATTCCAAACTTACTGCCATAAGTTCATAAGTTCTTACGAGAATTGAGATTAAGGGTAGGTATGCAACTATAATATGTGCGATCTTAAAAAACT